CTCATTGGGCTTTTTAAAAGAAGATTTTTTTAAAGTTTTTACTATACACATATAGTTAAAAACAATGACACCCCTGGGGCCGGGCCAGTTTTGACCCCAGGGCTTTTATTTAAACAAACTTTGTAGACACTAACTAGAAGATGTTTCATGCTTAATATCTAAACTCTAGCTATTTGGGTTTTTTCAAAGAAGATTTTAAGTTTTTGCTATACACATATAAAGAAAATCAATGACCCCCGGGGCGGGGCCAATTTGGACCCCAGGGCTTTTATTTGAACAAAATTTGTAGACACTCACTAAAAGATGTTTCATGCTTAATATCTTAACTCTAGCTATTTGGGTTTTTTCAAAGAAGATTTTTTAAGTTTTTGCTATACACATATAAGGAAAATCAATGACCCCCGGGACGGTGCCAATTTTGACACCAGGGCTTTTATTTGAACAAACTTGGTAGACACCTATTAGAACATGTTTGATGCTAAATATCTTAGCCATAGCTCTTTGAGTTCTTTAAAAGAAGATTTTTTAAGTTTTTACTATATGCATATAGGGAAAATCAATGACCCCCGGGGCGGGGCCAATTTTGACCCCAGGGCTTTTTATTTGAACAAACTTGGTAGACACTTATTAGAACATGTTATATGCTAAATATCTTAGCTCTAACTCTTTTGGTTCTTTAAAAGAAGATTTTTTAAGTTTTTACTATATGCATATAGGGAAAATCAATGACCCCCCGGGGCGGGGCCAATTTTAACCCCAGGGCTTTTATTTAAACAAACTTTGTAGACACCTATTAGAACATGTTTGATGCTAAATATCTTAGCCATAGCTCTTTGAGTTCTTTAAAAGAAGATTTTTTAAGTTTTTACTATATGCATATAGGGAAAATCAATGACCCCCCCGGGGCGGGGCCAATTTTGACCCCAGGGCTTTTATTTGAACAAACTTGGTAGACACTTATTAGAACATGTTTCATGCTAAATATCTTAGCTCTAACTCTTTTGGTTCTTTAAAAGAAGATTTTCTAAGTTTTTACTATATGCATATAGGGAAAATCAATGACCCCCTGGGGCGGGGCCAATTTTGACCCCAGGGCTTTTATTTGAACAAACTTGGTAGACACCTATTAGAACATGTTTGATGCTCAATATCTTAGCCATAGCTCTTTGAGTTCTTTAAAAGAAGATTTTTTAAGTTTTTACTATATGCATATAGGGAAAATCAATGACCCCCAAGGGCGGGGCCAATTTTGACCCCAGGGCTTTTATTTGAACAAACTTGGTAGACACCCATTAGAACATGTTTGATGCTAAATATCTTAGCTCTAGCTCTTTGGGTTCTTTAAAAGAAGATTTTTTAAGTTTTTACTATATGCATATAGGGAAAATCAATGACCCCCTGGGGCGGGGCCAATTTTGACCCCAGGGCTTTTATTTGAACAAACTTGGTAGACACTCACTAGAAGATGTTTCATGCCAAATATCTAAGCTCTAGCTCTTATGGTTTTTTAAAAGAAGATATTTAAAGTTTTTTCTTTTGGTTGCCATGGCAACCAGAGTTCTGCATGAAATTAAATTCTTTGAACAATTTTTAAAGGTGACCACCAAAGGAACATTCCTGTGAAGTTTGGATGAAATTGGCTTAGTGGTTTATGAGGAGATGTCATTTAAAGTAAAAGTTTACGGACGGACGACGGATGACGGACGGACACCGGACGAAAAGCGATCACAAAAGCTCACCCTGTCACTTTGTGACAGGTGAGCTAATAAAAAAGTAACAGTAAAAAATAGTATTTTTTAAGGAAAATTCTAAGTTCAAGGGGAGATAAATCTGAAAATATTGGTGCTAGAGTTATGGACCTTGTCACATAAGATGTGGTTGATGATAAGGAACATATATTTGAAGTTTTAAGTTGATACCTTAAGAAATGACAAAGTAATAGTGAAAAATATTTTACTGCACCAAAACTTTAATGCGGACGCCGACGCCGACACCGGGGCGAGTACGACAGCTCTCCATATACTTCATATAGTGCAGCTAATAAGGAATGCAGAGTACCAGTTTTTGAGCACAGCACTTCTTATCAATAAGATCTATCATCCTATGAAGTTTGAAGTCCATAGCTTTTTAATTTATGAGAAATGGCCCGACAAAAATAAAGTATGAAAATTAACAAAGGGCAATAACTGAAAAATTAAGAAGTGCAGAGTAACGATTCTTGTGCACTGCATTTCTTCTAAATGAGATCTATCATCCTATGAAGTTTCAAGTCCATAGCTTTTATACTTTATGAGAAATGGCTCAGACAAAAATAAAGTATGAAAATTAACTAAGGGCAATAACTCAAAAATTAAGAAGTGCAGAGTAACGATTCTTGTGCACTGCACTTCAGGTCATTATAAGAAGCATGCATACTAAGATTGGAGTTAATCCAACTTATAGTAATTGATTTTAGTCCGGACAAGCTTAACGGGACGCAGATGCAGACATTGACGACAGCCGACACAGCTAACAAAAGTAACCCCTATATGTCGCCTTTTTAAGGCAACACAAAAACCTAAATATTTTTCTTATTTATAAAGGAAATTGCATGGTAATAAGTTGCAGTTGATAACTTTGGTTGTGCAGAAAGAACCTTCAACAGGTATTTCTAAATTCACAAGGGGATTCAAGTCAATGAAAATCCATGATAGAATTATGAGTTAGTGGCAATGAACTACAATTAAGAACCCTGAGACATGAAGTTTCAAGTGAATAGCTTCTGTGATTAATTAAATACAAAGTTGCATACAAAATCATAACCCAGTGTTAAGCAGGTATCAGAGTTAATATAATAGCCCTGTTTTATTCCAATAGACAAGCTAATACCACATACTTTTGGCAAAAATATCATTTGATTGAAATTGTTATAATGTTGTTAATATGAATGAATTACTACCCACTTTTCAAAAGTTTGTATAAGAATGCAATATGGTATTCTACTGTCTTACTGCTGAAATAAACAAGAGCATCACTTGCAAAGTTAACACTCATCTGTTAATAGTTTTTATTATAAAAATTCTTACATTCTAAAAGGGGTATTACTTATAAAAATTATGCTTTTATGAAAATGCCCATTTGCTAACAACTATTCCTAGTGATAATCAAGTTTTCCAAGTTCCATGTTGTTAGTTTTGAGCAATTATGACAAAAAGTTAAAGATGGGCATAACTAGAAATAAGTGTTTTTTTCATAATAATGTTCCTTGTCTTCCTACTTTACATTTTCATGAAAAACATTTTTACCAAGTTTCATGTTGATACAGTTCATAGTTTTGAAATCATTCTACTTAGTAGGCAATTTTGACAAAAAAATCCCAGTGAAAAAGGGGCATAACTCTGAAAAGCATTGCTTTTAGTATACTGGGATCCTACATATTACCGGACAAAATATGAAGTTTTTTATCTGTAACTTTTATTTAAAATAATAAAAAAGAATGGAATTTCACCCAAATAATTTTGGGTTCTTAATGGACGTAAAATTCTTTTATCAAATATGAAATTAAACATTTGACTGTAGAAATGTGTCTTTAAAGTAGGCCTTTATAAGAGGAAAAATATCGCGCAAACAACTCAATTTACCGGACATTGTGTTTCAAACAATTTTGAAGTCGTGAATTAAAATTAATCTTTAAATAATCAGCAAGGAAACTACGACTATTGAATGGCAAGGTTAAGATATTTGAAAATCCTAGTATGTCACTAGAAATAGACACTGCAGCCATGCCTGTTATGAAAAGGCCAATATATGGTGTAATTGAAATAAACACTATTAACTCAATTAACGTATTGATTCTTCATGATCCTTAAGCGTATGAAACATTTTAATATTTAAATTAATTCTGTTCTTTGTCATACAGTTTCCATTTGGTCATCATGTAGCATGTTACAAAAGCCATAAAATCTATTTTATTAACATTTCATGTAGAGTTTCCTCCCATGGGCGTAACCCGTTTCCTTATATGTTTTTTTCATTTACACTTCTTTGTAAAAAAACAACAACGAGATACTGTTAAGATTAAATTCAAAATTACTTTTTATCATTAAGATATGTTACGATTGTCTCTTTAGGTAACTTTGAAAAGAATTAAAAGTAAAACCTATTTAAAAAAACCCATTAAGGGTCTCTTTATTTGGGACTGTACAGAACAGATTATTCCCCCGCATGACCAGGTCATGAAATAACTAGTAAACAAAAGGGCATGTTAGTAGATAAAGAACTGAATCAACAATATTTACCTGAGAGTGGTTTTGTTGTTTTTTACTTAGAAAAAGAAAGTGTGTGTACAATTCAGACTGTATGATTTTTTAATCGAAGCAAAAAATAAAGCACTATTCAGCAGTAATAGTTTTTGTCCGGTAAACTGATTGTCCGGTAATTATGTAGGATCCCAGTAATGCCCCTTTGTCTAGAACTGTTGCTTGACATGATAAACAAGTATTTTATGCTTAAACCATTCATAGTTAAGAAATCATTTTACTTATAAGGCAATTTTGACCAAAATTCCAAGTTAAAAACTTATAAGGTTTTGGAATTTTGCCCCTTGTCTAAAAACTACATCATTATCTCTAAGTTTTGTGTTTATACCTTCAACATTGTTTAAGAAACAGGCTATATTAAAGTTTTGCACAACAACGAGGATCACAACAACAACAACAACAGAGATCATAAAAGCTTGACTTTTTCTTCGAAACAGAGGAGATAAAAACTGTGACTTTGTTGGTGGCAGTATTAGAATAGTGGCCATCAAATTCAGATTTTATGCCTGATTGGTTACTTTAACTTTTGATATTTTTGAGAGACTTCCCTGTTAATTTTATGAGAAATCATTAACAAAGTTAAAGGTTCATGTTGAACTAAAACTTGTCTAGTCAAATTTTTTTAAGAGAGAGGACTTGTTATTCACATATTAAGAGTCAATCAGCTGCTTTAATAACCTACTTTATTCCAACTTAACCTACCTCCATCTAACCTCAATGAAGATCTCCATTCTACTGGAAGAAACTCTGCTCTCTGGTTTTCTTGATTCTCAAAATTTGGGAACGCTTTAGCCTTCACATGCTCTAGTTTATCTCTCATGCTGAAATGTGCAAAAATATGTGACATGCAGTTAGTTATCTATAAGAATAAATTACCATATTAGTTCTCAGATATACCGTATAGGCAAATCAGCTGTTATCAAAATAGCTGATATTAAAAGCCTCAAGTTTAAAGGTGAAAAATGAAGGGCTGTTGGGGGAGAGGGGAGAAACAGCCATTGACACACTTTCTCTCAAATAAAAAGCATTTGCCCAAATAATGATAATATCTATAAACGGTTAAAGTGGAAGAGCAATTTATAAATATATTAGATAAAAAAAAATTCAAACCAGAAAAAGGTACAACTCATTGCCCTTTTATCAAGAAACTGACCTAAATAATATTTATCATCAGTTGAATATTGGGACATGTAAAATAATGTCTTTAATCAAGATAACTGAGCACTTTAAAAAAATTAATTTGTGAAATATATGATCTTACTGGGTTTTTTTTGCACAAATGTCAGTTTGACAAATCAACCGGTATAGAAGTTTTGCAAGAAAAAAATAAACAAAAAGTTAATGTAGCCTATATAAAAAAAATTCTCTACATTATAAAGAAAACAAACGTTTTAAATCTTTAAAATAAAACAAATAAAACAAACGGTTTAACCCTTTAAAATTAACATCCTATGATGAACAAGTTTTCAATAAAAAAAGAAAATATCAAATTTCTTAGCTATTCTAGTGTGTAATTAAATACATTGCATGCAACTTTCAAAATGCATATAATGATACCATGTTAGAAATAACAAAATACTGAATGAAGATTTTACAAATATACTGATGCTATGTTACAATTTACAATTAAATCTTTCTTCTTCTCTTTTTTCATAAACTTACTCGAGGCAGCATCTGACAATATGGCCAGTGTCCATTTTCTGACCAATGCCATGTACAACAAAGACAAGATGAGTGATGTCTGTAGGTTTATCGTCCATCATAGCTTCCATACAATAACCTCTATGAAGCCTAGCACCAGCTGAAAATACGCAAGATAGCTTTATACAAATATATACATAATATTTACGCCATATGTTTATGGTTACTATTGAGTGTTGCACACATAAATCTAGAGATTCAATACAGATTGATTCTACAAAACTTATTTGTATATTTACTTTGACTGTACAAAAACACTTTCCAAAAATATACAACAATATCATAAAACATTTAGCCAACAGATGACATGAAAACCTTTGATAAAATAATAGAGGTTCAGTGTTTATTATCATAAATGCAAATATTCCAGTATCTAAACAAATGATTTCCTAAATATAACAGAATCAGTTTTCCTAAAATTGTATTTTCTGTTAAAATTATAAAGATAATTATAAACTACATAAACCACATACTTTACATATATTCTTGTACTGCATGTATCTGCAGTCATAAATATAACCAGTTATTATAAGTTAAACACAATCTTTTGTGAAAACAATTAGAAAGTTCCAGAATTTTCACATATTGTGCTGAAAATTGATTATCTAACTTGTATATCTTATATCTATGTGTTTTACTTTTTTCAAAATCATCTCAGTTCAAAATTTGGTTGTTATTGAGAAGTTTTGCTCTAGAATGGTTAAATCTTTTGTGAAGTCTGAGTTTGGGAAAACTTGAAACAGTTGTTGTAAAGAGGTAGTTATTCTACACAGGGCTGTTCTGCAGAGGTTGCACTGTATATTCATATAATGGCCATTCAATTTTGATCTTAAAATATAAATACAGTCAAATTGTGAACAAAGGAAATCCAAGGATGATACCAAACATGGCCTTTATAGACAAGTGGACTTTATTTAGAGGCTGCTTTGGTGTTGTTTTTTTTATAGTAATCAACGATTGTCCAATCCGATTGTCAACAAGGGGTCTCTATTTACAGGTTGATCATTATTCAGATGTGGTCTTTAACACAGGTTTTTACTGTAATGTGTAATTTTACTTAATCACTTTATTCCAACCATCCTCTACCCTTTTTCTAGCATACCAATGCATAATGTAAAAATATAAGGTATAAGCATTTTTCTTAATAAAGTATTTACTACAAAACAACTTACATTTTTGAACACCTATTTTATTTCCAACAGCTCTCAAAAATCTAGAGGATGTTGTGTCACTAAACATGAACACATCTACTGGGGAATTCCACTCCAGATAGAAGTCTGTAAACCGAATGTTGAGGATGACTAGAAAAGAACAAGATATGTTTGTAAAACATGTATGCCCCCTATCAGCAGCCAATTAGTCATGTGATAAGGTTATTATGCATGACTTCTGACCCAGTGATCAAACAATTAATAAGGGTTATCAAGTATCTACTGGTCATGACCTTAACCTTTGACCCCTTGACACAAAACTCAATAGGGGTCATCTGCTGGTCACGACCAATCATCATACAAAGTTTGAAGTTCCTAGGCCTAAGCGTTTTTAATTAAATGATCGGAAACCGTTTTTACCTTCAAGGTCAATGTGACCTTGACCTTTGACCCCTTGACCCAAAACTCAATAGGGGTCATCTGCTGGTCATGACCAATTATCATACAAAGTTTGAAGTTCCTAGGCCTAAGCTTTTTTAGTTAATTGATCGGAAACCGTTTTTACCTACAAGGTCAATGTGACCTTGACCTTTGACCCCTTGACCCCAAAATCAATAGGTCATCTGCTGGTCATGACCTATCACTTTACCAAGTACGAAGTTCCTAGGCCTTAGGGTTCTTAAGTTATTTATTGGAAAGCATTTTTACCTACAAGGTCAATGTGACCTTGCCCTTTGACCCCTTAACCCCAAAATCAATAGGGGTCATCTGCTGGTCATGACCAATCACCATACCAAGTTTGAAGTTCCTAGGCCTAAGGGTTCTTTAGTTATTTATCGGAAACAATTTTTACCTACAAGATCAATGTGACCTTGACCTTTGACCCCTTAACCCCAAAATCAATAGAGGTCATCTGCTGGTCATGACCAATCACCATACCAAGTTTGAAGTTCCTATGCCTTAGGGTTCTTTCGTTATTGATCAGAAACCGTTTTTACCCAAGAGGTCAATGTGACCTTGACCTTTGACCCCTTGTCCCCAAAATCAATAGGGGTCATCTACTGATCATGACCAATCACCATATCAAGTTTGAAGTTCCTAGGCCTTAAAGTTCTTTAGTTATTGATCGGAAACCGTTTTTGCTTTCAAGGTCAATGTGACCTTGACCTTTGACCCCTTGACCCCAAAGTCAATAGGGTCATCTACTGATCATGACCAATCACCATACCAAGTTTGAAGTTCCTAGGCCTTTAAGTTCTTTAGTTATTGATCGGAAACCGTTTTTGCTTACAAGGTCAATGTAACCTTGACCTTTGACCCCTTGACCCCAAAATCAATAGGGGTCATCTACTGATCATGACCAATCACCATACCAAGTTTGAAGTTCCTAGGCCTTAAGGTTCTTTAGTTATTGATCAGAAACCGTTTTTACCCAAGTGGTCAATGTGACCTTGACCTTTGACCCCTTGACCCCAAAATCAATAGGGGTCATCTACTGATCATGATCAATCACCATACCAAGTTTGAAGTTCCTAGGCCTTAAAGTTCTTTAGTTATTGATCGGAAACCGTTTTTGCTTTCAAGGTCAATGTGACCTTGACCTTTGACCCCTTGACCCCAAAGTCAATAGGGTCATCTACTGATCATGACCAATCACCATACCAAGTTTGAAGTTCCTAGGCCTTAAAGTTCTTTAGTTATTGATCGGAAACCGTTTTTGCTTACAAGGTCAATGTGACCTTGACCTTTGACCCCTTGACCCCAAAATCTATAGGGGTCATCTACTGATCATGACCAATCACCATACCAAGTTTGAAGTTCATAGGCCTTAAGGTTCTTTAGTTATTGATCAGAAACCGTTTTAGCTTACAAGGTCAATGTGACCTTGATCTTTGACCCCTTGACCCCAAAATCAATAGGGGTCATCTACTGATCATGACCAATCACCATACCAAATTTGAAGTTCCTAGGCCTTAAGGTTCTTTAGTTATTGATCGGAAACCGTTTTTGCTTACAAGGTCAATGTGACCTTGACCTTTGACCCCTTGACCCCAAAATCAATAGTGGTCATCTACTGATCATGACCAATCACCATACCAAGTTTGATGTTCCTAGGCCTTAAGGTTCTTTAGTTATTGATCGGAAACCGTTTTTGCTTACAAGGTCAATGTGACCTTGACCTTTGACCCCTTGACCCCAAAATCAATAGGGGTCATCTACTGGTCATGACCAATCACCATACCAAGTTTGAAGTTCTTAGGCCTAAGGGTTCTTTAGTTATCACTCGGAAACCATTTGGTCTACGGACCGACGGACCGACAAGTGCAAAGCAATATACCCCCTTTTCTTCGAAATGGGGGCATAAAAATCAAAACTTTTACTATATATCACAATTTCTTGAACAAAAACTAAAACAATTTTATAAGGAAGACAAAGCAGCAAACATGCAATTCACAGATAGTGGTTCACCTGCCACCTGGTAATTAACATGTCTGCCTTTCAACTCAGTGATCATATTTGATCTCCGCTGGATTGTTATCACATGTCCTTTTATTTTATGATATCTTATTGTTTAAACATAAATATATAAAAGAAAATAGCATGAACACAATTCTAAAGTATCCCCACTATTAAACTGGTAGGACCTAGCCTTAATTCAGAACACTTCCTTAAAGATATTGGCAAGCACAAGAACTGATTTAGAATCTATAAAATATATTCAATCTTACAAACCTGGTTTCGGTCCCTTTTTATCTGTGACAGGTTCTTCTACCAGCCTGTGACCCAGAAATGTTCCAAGGTATTCTGTCTCTATTTGAGATGCATAGCCATCTTCAACTGGTTGCCATGTATTGTCATAAAACCAAGTACCTCTCATAATTTTACTTTTGTCATCTTAATAGAATATAAAACCAAAATTTCACAAAAGTACAAACAATCTGGCATACATGCCTGATGGTGAAATATGCTGTATATAGCTAACACCCATATTAAACTGGTTAAGTGTTGGAAATTTGACAATATTAGGAGGTACATGTATGCTGCTAAAATGGAAAATTGATTAATGGGAATAGGGAGAAGTTGTAGTAGTCTGTCTGGTATGGGATAACTCATTATAAGGGCTTGTCAAGAGGCTCTCACAAATTACATGTGTTTACCTTCTATAGGGGTGGCAACTATATTATTGTTGATTTTATACATCATGTAGAGCTTACATTGAATGAATATGACGAAAATCTAGTTGATGCTATTTAGGTGACTATAGCATCTAGGTGACACTGGACATGCCCACACAGGAAAATCTGACCAAACAATCAGATCTTCTTTAAACAAATTTTATCTGATCTGGGAGACCAGACTATTGTTTAACCACATCATGGAAGTGACAACAACAAATAAGGATAATGATTTTCTATTCATAATTATTATGGTAATGTAACGATTCGCCACACTAACGATTCGCCTCATAATGATACGCCACAGAGTATTAACGATTCGCCACAGTAATGTAACGATTCGCTATGTGTTCAAAATCAAATACAAACTTTTTCACACCTGTTTTCAAACTGTTGATATATACTAAAAACAGCTTTTTCTTTTAAATAAAAACACATGAAAACAAATATTTTATTACCAAAATTACATTACACATTGTAGTTAAACTTCGTTATTATTATAAACTAGAAGATATATCATATCGTACAAGATGGGGTATACCAATTAATATATTCAGGTGTTTGGAATTTAAAAACAATACCAACCTTTACAGATGACAGATACGTATTTTACTATTTAAATGCAAACTTTGAAGTTCTTTACAGTTTTATCACTGACAAGTATTTCGACATTAGAATGTTATTACTAAGTTATCTAGGATACATATAAACTTCTCATGATAAACGAATTCATGCATGTAGCACTTGTTTTTTTTTAACGCAAAACAAAAAATATCAACAATGAATTCATTAAGAAAATCTGACAGGAATGGGAAAACATTTCTGTTTGGTATTTATTCTGGAATTATAAATTGATTTAATGCATGTATCATATATGTATTATAATTGCATGTCAGAACAATGAAAACTAAGTTCAAATTATTGATTCATTTTCCATTCATTTCTATAATATTTTGGTTTCAGTGCAGTGATTTTTTTACCTCTGCATCCTGAGTCCAGGACTCATTGAATTTGCTGTGGATGCAAAGTTTCAATTAATGTGCATCTTTTGGATGCATACTTTTTCTGAGTAGGGAGTCCTGTCTGACAGGAATTTGGTAATAAATACAAAATTGTGTTCAAATTATGTCAATCATATTCTAGTTCTGCAAATCTTCTACAGATAAGAAATAGTAATGTGCTTTACTATAGATAAGCATAAAAATATTAAGGAAAAGGAAGTTTTGATAAATCTCAAACTATATTAATTGAAATAAACTGATTAAATTTATTTGACAGTTTTGAATAATTTCAGTATCAGAAGCATTGCAATTGATGTAGAAATCAAATTCATTTTTTTTTTCATTCGATTGTTAATATACCTTTTATATCACTAAAGCAATATTAAGCCTTGTAACTTGGATTATTAGGCTAAATTTTGGGACTCATAGATTTAAAGCCCAGCGAGTCCTAGGACCCACACTGATGAGTTTGTAAAAAAATCACTGCAGTGTAATCAAAATACATGTTAAACTAGCCTATAGTCTGTCCCATCCAATTTGAATATTCCATTTTTTATTTAATATAATTGTAAAATCATTTAAATTAATATCATGTTAACCCTAACGTCTATATCTCTAGGCATGTTTTTCATTTTTTTCATAACGTCAGTAATATGGTCACAATGTTGAAATTATATTTTTTCCCGTTGACTTACGTTGTAACCTGACGTGACGTCCATTTCAAAATGGCGGCGCCCATATAGACGTCATTTAGGGTTCATCTCACAATTAGCGTGAAATGTACTTGGTAATTATAAAAATTGATTATTCTTATTTACTTACTGGTCAAAAGCTAAATGTTATCATTAATAAGAAAAATGAGAAACAAAGTTGGTGTCAAAAAGGCAAATTTTACTAGCAAACCATTATTTAAAATGATAAAAAACCTTTTGAAGTAAAAATACCAGTATTCGCTTTATAAATTCTAAAACACAAAGATTATATAATTACCATGATATACTGTCGTATTTTATATTATTTTTAAGAGAAAAGGAGCAATGAAGTGATTTAAGTAGATAGCTTTTCAATCAAGCGCGTAACTTGAATACCGCAACGCGTCGTAGGTTTACACTAATTCTGTAGTTGTCTGAATTCTGTGCATTAGTATATATCACGTCTATTCAAAAATAATTAAATTGATCAGGTTCGATGGGATACAAAAATATGTTACCCTTCTTATTTCGGGTGCGATGTAAGTGCGCTAAAAAACTTTTCGTAGGTTTCAACTTTCACAAGAAAATCGCCAACGAATACTACATTATCATGCTGCAAATCTAACAAGAATATATAGAAAGGGGAACTGAGTCACTATATGTTAAGCATTGGTTTGCTTGTAACCACAGTGTCTACTTAAACTAGCTCCCTCGCTAATGAGAGAACACAGACTCGCTTGCGAGGAAAAATGTAAATTGTAAGAATATAATATCATGCTTTCTAGTTTGAGCAACTAAACGTAGGCCTGAACACTTTAAGCTTGTAAATACAAATTTAACTTTCAGCCTCACAATTTAACAAAATGTCAAGAAATACCGGCAGTGATTTGATATTATTAAGAATAAGTTTGAATTGGAGCGTTCAATAAGCTGCAATAAGTGTGTTTTTGGTAGACTTAAAGTGTTACATAATATATTTTATAATTATGGTACTGTTATAGATTCATGTTATTAAGCGTGTTTAAAATTAATTAAATGTTATCAAAAGTTTTATAATTAATAATGAATTGAAGTGTAATTTAACAGTTAAGTTGCGAAATCTGGGTATACAAAAAATATTTTTAATGCCATCAAGACAAATTTATCTCAACGCTTAAAATTATCTGTATGAGGTTACATATGCCTAACCGCCCTCTGTCAAATGCCGCAACTGGAATCATCCATAAAAAGCGCGAGGCATTTTTGTTAACGTCATATATTTCGTAAATTGTTGTTGACGTAATAAAAGTTTTTTTTTTCGTCAGGAATCCATTTTCAGAGTTATAAACATTGTGATGTTGACATGTAAAATTGATGGGCCGTTCTTGAATTATGGATTTGGAACATACTGAAATTATGATGTGTTTCATATACATAATTCATTTGCTAACCCAGATAACTCCACAAATTGAACAATGTTTTAATAATGAGACGGATTAACAGTTTAAAATATTCTGGATCATCATAACTTACATAAGTGTAGGAGTCATGCCATTCAGGAGTTTCAAAGTAAAAAATGGGATCTACGGAACTGGATAGAATGTGGTACCTAATGAAGGAATCTTCAGAATGCGAATTTGTCGTGACGTTTATAAAGATCTATTTCGAAATTCAATTTCATAGGGATTCTATTCAGCTTAAAAGTAAGTGCAATTTCTAGATTTACTTCATGTGACTCGACAAGTTGCTTATTATTTATTTTTTAAAGTTTTCCATCACGCATTGCAACTAAACTGTTACATCTTGTAGATCATGCTTTGTAAAATAATCATGAAACGACCCCGACAACCTCATGTATATTTTGGAAACATGACACGTGCTTTCTCCCGTTCATCTTCAAATGAAGAGTACTTCGGCAATGGCTACGGAAAATAAACAACAGAGATTTACCATAGAGAAATCAAAATTTGCTTTAACAAGAAAAGTAGATACTTTAGAGAAAAATCCTGAAAAATCTCGAGGGTGACTTTTTTTTAGTTTACAAAAATAGTTTAATTTTTATTCAACCTCGTTTTTTTAATTCACACCAGGCAAAAGTTCATTTCCATTTTTAATGGGACAGACTATAGTTTTCTTATTAAGTCCTTTAAGGATTATTTCGGTGTCAATTAAATATTTCTACAACAATCCTAAGGTGTGACAAATGTTTTAGATAAGCGTTCTTTAATCAATTATCGAAAATCAATTTTTGTAATGAACACATGTTTTTGCAATACCCATTTTTAAAATAAAATATATTTGACATATATATACATAAATATAAAATAATAAATTGACATATAGGTTTATGATGAATTCAATATATTTCAACATATAATTACTTTCTTGTAAAAATTACTTTCTGTAAAAATGTTAACTTGATAAATTGAAAATCCGCGATGGGAGTCTTAACTTCATATTACTTGTATTAAGAAACATGATTAAATTATTGTCATTGTCAAATTATTTAAAAAAAAAAAAAGTTTGTTGATTTAATTGAACTAGGACCAGTCAAACTAAAAAAAATCATTGTTATAATCATACTGTGGCGATTTGTTATTTAACTGTGGCGAATCGTTATTACTCTGTGGAGAATCGTTATGTAGCGGATCGTTAGTGTGGTGAATCGTTACTAATTCATTATTATGAACATCGAATCCTGTAAGAAAATATTTTTCAACAGCCAAAATAAATGTGACAAAATACACCTAACATGAATTTGGTTCATGTCATTTCTGTTATGTAAATAATAAATATTAAATGAGTAATTTATTCCTTTTTATATTTATTCATGAGAATTAAATAAGTATATTTCAGTATCTTTCAGTTTTAGGTATACAATGTGTAAAAATAAGTCATCTTGTCAACAAAATTTAAAGCATTTATAAAACTGTATAACATTTGATATCATACCTGACCAATACACAGGACTGCATGACCGTTTTGGGACATCAACCTCATAAAGACCTCCCCGTACTAAAATAAGATCAAGGTCTGCCACTTCAGATTCTGTCAGATCTTCTGTTCCATTTTGTTGTTGTACCCTAAAACGACATTCAATTCGCAACGAGTCATATCCAATAAATGGAGTCCATCTCTTGTCTCCCTCCTTTTTATAAAACCATCTTACTTCTTCAGGTTGGAGGTGGTCTACATACTCTTTCTTTGGATAAAGGTATTTTCTAGATCTTGGAGGTGTTCCCTGACTAACAATTGAATCTGCTACCGATTCCCTGTCACTGTCAATTTCTTCAAATGAATCGGATATTGCAAGTGATTCCAGTGAAGGGTACATACGTGTTTCTGTAATATCCCCTCCGCTAAATTCAGAATTAATACCGTCTCCAGGTGCAGAAAAGTTCATTTTTTAAAAATAAATTGGTAATCATCACCAAAACGAGCTGTCACGTAGTATGACACTGAATAATACCGTTGACAGCTGTTTGTTTATCGATTTGAACTTTGCCCCTACTTTCAATATCAGTAGCACGAGTTTCGAAAATTCTTTTTTAAAAGATATAAGAAAATATAATAGGTATCCTATAATATATGAGAGATTGAATTTTCGTTTTCGTTTTTGAAAAGACTTTTGTAATATTTGTCTTTATTCATGCATAATTTAATCATATCTTTTTACGAATATACGCATAGGCATTTTCCAAGCGTTTTTGGATTGCAAGCGTTTGTAACTTTGCACACCGATCAGCGATAGTTTTTACGAAATACTGTGAAATTGTTTAGAAAAGGGTGAGGCTGAATTGTTATACCTTAAATATTTATTTTTATTTCATTGGCTATCTTACTTTCATCAAAACATGATAAATCTATATACTTAAAATTCTGATGAAATGACATTGGGATTCGTCCTCAAAACTTTTCGAAAGTATTCCAGAGGTTACATGTCAACACAGCCCCTAAGTCAATCTTAGATACTTAACATGTAGTATTTCCAAGGAAACCCCTACAAAAGTTATAAAAATCATGTTTCTGGGCTCAAAAATTACCTTGCCATGGGGTCTAATTAACATTGACAATTTACATAGAATATCATGCCCCAACAGGTGGCACGATAGCTGAGATGGTTAGACTACTAACTATTACTCCAGAGGTCCTGGGTTCGATCATGGTTAACACCCTTTGGATTTTTAAGAGATACTTTCAGTGTTTCCCATGTGCCTAGAGGTGTACTGGTAAGAAAATCCAGGTAATCCTCGCATGTATCAGTGCACAGGAAATTGACATTCTCTTTGCAAATAATTAAAAATAATGACAAATATACCCCTCTATACTATAAATAAATTTATAGTATAGAGGGGTATATTTACTGTTATTTTTTTAATTATTTGCATATATTTTTCAATTATTGATAGAATGTCAATCTCCTGTGATCAGTGCTATACACTGGGCATGTAAAAGAACCAAGGGGTCTATTTAATAAGAGCTAGGGACTGGTTCCCGGATTCATTTGTATCTCAAAGCTGTCTCTCAATTCAATTCAATGTATAAAATCTATACCTGCTTAGTGTAATCGTAAACAATTTTAAAGCAGTATGATGTAGATGAACAGTAAAATTTGTCATGCTTTAGGGGGTCATACATGCTTCCTCCATTCATATGCCACATAGTTTACAAAGACTTATTTAGAAATTAAAGAAATCTTCTTTTCAGAAACTACAGGGACTGAAACTTATATATTTTGCATGAAACATTTCTTTGTGGTCAAACCACTGGGGTCAAAATTGACCCCGCCCTGGGAGTCAGTTTACGTAAAGAAATCTTGGAAAACACGTTTACAGTTTTTTCTGTTAAACTACAATGCCCAGAGTTTTGATAGATATTTGGCATGTATTATCATTAATATGGACCTTAAAAAAGTTTTAGAAATCATGGTCTTCTTGTTGAATTTGTTAACTCATTCAAATGCTTGCAGCTTTGTAATATGTCTTATAATTGAATATAAAACAAAATTTAGGTCATTCCACTATTTTATCTATTTATGTCTCTATAATAATGCTTATCTTTAGATTTCCTAATTGTAAGAGTTATGTTTCTTTATTTCAGAACAGACTTGAAAGAACAGACTTGAACAGAGGCTTATAATTTTTGTCTTTTAACTTCTCATGAGACAATGTGGAATGTAGTATTGGCTGTAGCGAGGCGTTATGCTCCAGTAGCTACTTTACCAATAGCAATGGTACTTGGATTTATTGGTTATAATGCAGAATCAGTGCTTTCAGACAAAACTACCCCTAGCAGAACAATGACAGTTGCTGAAGAGAGAGATGAAAGAATATTAAGGGAGTTAGAGGGGGAGAATGTTGATGATGGAGATACTAGATATAGTAAAACCCTCCCAAAGACAGTTCTTGATAGAAATGAATTCAGAAAAGGAGCCAGAGACTCAACAGTGAAGGCAGATCACTGATATACAATCTATATTATTTTAAATGTCAGTTAAGTTTATAGTGAAGTAAGTTGTCATTGCCAAGCTCCAAGAAGAAGACACTATTCTTAATTTCTATTGTGTATTTACAAGTACTTTTTAGAGGATCTTTATTGAAATTGATAAATGGTAGGCCTGGCAGGTTTCTTTTGAATCTGAAAATGAATGGTCTAATAATTTTAAGTTTTTCAACCTTGAAATTTGTGTCTACAGCAAAAGTACAGACATGCTGATCTGAAAATATGTATTAACTGCTATGCAGTTGTAACAGAAGAAGTAAACCATTGTAACCTTATTTATTTGAAACAGAAAATTCAGTTCATTATAATCATCTGTAATGTTTTTATCTGTCTGTTATTGTTACAAAATCTATTTTAAGTCTGTTTTAAATTCAAAATTTTACTAAGAAAGAAATTACTTCTGCAAATAAGTATTTTCATAATTTTGGTAATGGCAAGGAGGCATATAGTATTACCCCTGTTTGTCTGTGAACGTGTAAAACTTTGTCTGGCTCATAATTCTGTCATGCATCAAGGGATTTGAAATAACTTGGCACAAATTTAAAGCACAAATAGATGGTATGTCATGCACAAGACCTAAACCCCCTAGCTCAAAAGTCAATGTCACACCTAAAGGTCAAAGGTCGGCAGTTAGAAAATCTTGTCATGCATCAAAGGAATTTTGAAAAAAACTTGGCCCAAATGTGTAGTGAAATAGCTTGGCACAAATGTGAATTATGATGAGATGGTGTGTCATGCACAAGATCTAGTCCCCTAGCTCTAAGGTCAAGGTCACACCTAAGATCAAAAGACAATACTAAGTGAGAAAATCTTGTCAGTCCCACAATTCTGTCATTCATCAAGTGGTTTCCAAAAAATTTGCATGAAGAGACAATGTTTCATGCACAAGACCTAGCTCCCAGGTCAAGGTCACGCTTAGAAGTCAAAGACAGCAGTTAGATAATATTGTCTGGCCCATAATTCTGTCATGCATCAAGGGATCAAATCAAATCAAACAATTTGGCACAAATGTCTTGCATAATTTGATGGTGTGTCATGCACTTGACCAATCTGATAGGTCAAGGACACACTAGAGGTCAAAGGTGAGCAGTTAGAAAATCTTGTCTTGTCGGTAACTCTGTCATGCATCAAGGGATTTTAAAGTCAGTTTTCAAGTGTTAAGCATAATGGGGTTTCAGGTTAACATAGCAATTGTTATTATCAATGCTTTTCTTTGACAATGAAATTAATTGTTAGTTATTGAATTTTTTTCCCAGTTTTATGCTCCAGTACAGACTGCACTAAGAAATTTGTGCTCTCTCACTTTAAAATTAAGTTCTTATGAATATTTTAAAATAAAATGCTGACCTTCGACTTCTAATTATTATTCAGTGTCCTAACATATATAACATGGGCATTTTTGTTGTTCAGAAAAATTTATAGTTCCCAGAATTAAAGAATGATGGAGCAAGAATCAAAACTTTTTTTGTTCTTGCTCCAAAATTTGTCAATTAAGTGATTTTACATACATCAAACTTAATTTTAATACATGTACATTTGTAATTGTAAAAAATCTATTGATTTCAGAGTATACGTCTTCAATATATGCCATTTTTTTTGATTTGCCATTTGATATGCACATATCATCTGTCATTCATAAACTAAAGAAATAACTATAGGAAATATACTTTAAGTTCAACCATATCAGAATTGTGATATAACTTCTATAATAATTTACATGTAGGAGTTTATTTTGCTGTATTTTATACAATTTGATGCAAAGTATCTCAGATCATGTTAGAATCTGAAAAGGTACAATGTTGGATTTCAGATGATTTTTATCAATGTCTTTTTTTTAATGACATGAACATGTAAATAGTTTTCATAGTTTATATAGTATAAAACAAGAGTTGAAAAATAATGATAAACAACAAGAAAACAAAAGTTTTATTATTCGTAACTTAGATTATGGTAACGATGATAAACAGAGCTGAAAATACAAACTCGTCATTTTATGCAAGACTGATTTTGCTCATACATTATAAAATGGAAATAAAATATATGTAAAATTTGAATGAAATTTTTTCATTATACAAAACTATTTTCATAAGTAAGCTGGAACAGTAAGTTATAGTTTTTGTCCCAAGTATACAGCTTTTTTGTAGGACAGTCAATATATCCATGCAGTCTCATCAGGCTCTTTTTACCTAGGAAATAAAAGTAAAGACCTATTCATGTCCACATGATAAGAATTGATCAAAAACAAATTGTGTAGAAAATAAATATTCTCTTCCCAAATACGTCTTTGTAAACAACATCAGTGATATTTTTTTAAAGAATTTTGAAATGTTTATATCCAATTTTGGTATTGAACTATAACAAAGAAAATATGCTTGTTAATGTGTACATCTGCAATTACATATCCCTGGATATGACAATAAAATAATAGAGATTTTTTGACATTTCTTTCTTTGTTTTCATGATTTGTAATATGTTTCTGTCATCAGAGAAGAGATAGCTTTCTCTGATTAATAATAACATCACCAGGTTAAATTATGATTATGCCACTAACTTGAGATCACATATTATAAACATTACACTTGTATTTATTTTTTAGGTTGAGGAGGTTTAGGTTTTTTGTCTTTTTTCCTGTCTTTGTTTTTAGATTTTCTTCCTTTCCCGTCTATATCATCCAGTAAAGAATTTTTGCGTCCAAGATGATTTTGTGGGTTGAGTGCATCTGAAACAGTAAAATATCGAGATTCAATAAGATAATGAAAGAAATAGTTTAAACATTTAGGAAAATAAACTTGGTTATTTTTATTATTATCATAAAAAAGTGAACAGTCTGTGTGTTTTTAATGAATTTTATTTTTACTATTCTTGCAATATGTTTTGGGCAATGTTTTGTATAACTCATGTAGTTTATATGGGTAAGCTCTAAAATCTTTTTAAATATTGTGTAACTGATAATGAAAGAAATAAGTTTAATTGTCATAGAAACTTGTGTATATAATATAATACAGAATCTGCTGTCACTGGATTACTTTCAATTTGTCTACACTTTACTTACAGTTTAATTATATCTGAATCATAGGACAACATAAATTTCTTGAATGGTTTTGTGACTGAAATATTTTATTACTGTAGATGGAATAAATATTCAGAAAAACATAACAAAAAATAATTATCATACAAGCTTAAAGACTGATATTAATTCATTTTCTAGGACATTATATAGAACAACATCAGTTTCCTCTCATGAAAAATCAGTGTTGTTTTCTTTGAAGTGTATCATGATTTCATTATTTCAATTTGGCAATACATTATCAAAATAAAACACTAGATTATAGACCCTTACTTGCTACTATATTGTTTGTTAAAAGTTTTATTTTTCTTTGAATGAAATTAGTTCCTTTTTCCAACTCGTTATGTTTTAACCTTCAGAGTTTTTTTTCAATTGTAAAATTGTAAAGGTTTATGAGTTCAGAGAAAATATGACTATACAAAACAATGTTCAGACAATCTAAGGATATATTAAGATATTAAAGCCTCTTGCAGAATCAGATTATCATATGCTCACTGTCTTTGCCCAACATTGATAGCTTGTCTTTTTGAGGAAATATTCACACCCTAGGGTTTGTATAACTCTTGCTTAAGTTTTTTGGTGCAATCTTGGTTAAAGTTTTTGTTCCAACTCTTGGTTAAGGTTTTTGTTGCAAGTCTTGGTTAAGGATTTTGATGCAACTCTTGGTTAAGGCTTTTGGTGCAACTCTCGGTTAAGGCTTTCAATGCACCTCTTGGTTAAGGGTTTTGATGCAACTCTTGGTTAAGGATTTTGTTGCAACTCTTGGTTAAGGCTTTTTGGTGCAACTCTTGGTTAAGCCTTAAGGATTTTGTTGCAACTCTTGGTTAAGGTTTTTGGTGCAACTCTTGGTTAAGGATTTTGTTGCAGCTCTTGGTTAAGGCTTTTGGTGCAACTCTTGGTTAAGGATTTTGGTGCAACTCTTAGTTAAGGCTTTTGGTGCAACTCTTGGTTAAGCTTTTGGTGCAAATCTTGGTTAAGGCTTTTTGGTGCAACTCTTGGTTAAGGATTATGTTGCAACTCTTGGTAAAGGATTTTGGTGCAACTCTTGGTTAAGGCTTTTGTTGCAACTCTTTGTTAAGGCTTTTGGTGCAACTCTTGTTTGGTTAATTGTCATATCTTCATAACCACTAAATGTTTCACTTGTTTGGACAAAGACAGATAATTCAGGCCAACCTTTTATGTAACAAAAACTCTAGATAGTTTTATCGACTTAAAACAACAGCTTTATTTACTTATACAATACATATATATGACAATATTCACTATTTCTACATAACTTATCATTATTGGAATGTAGTTTTGTATTAGTAGTAGTCTAAAACTAAAGTTCATGTATGTTTTTGTTGAATGGAACAAATTTACAACAGTTATCATACGTTTCTTAGCATTTGGTTGTTTCTTGTAATCTGTTTCCAACTTGGATGTTTGTCCATTAAGTTTAGCTGAATCAAGGGTATACAGATGTATTTATTTACTTATATCAAGTGTATCTTTACTACCATAAATCCATAGTAATTGTCATCTGTTTGAATTTATTTCTTCAAGGGTAAAACATGCTAAGTTGGTATGATTAAATGTTACAAGTTTAATATAAAAGGAATCAAAAAGGAGGTCTGAACTTTAGTCAGGTTGGTTTTGTGGCAATGACTCTGAATCGAAACTTTTTTTATCCCTATACAAAAAACCAAGTATAAGAACTGGTACTGTGGATTATTGGTTATTAAGATTATTGACAGGTTATATGGCGCTATATAAACCGTTGGTTGTAAATATATTGAACCATTAGGTGAGTGTTATATTGCAAACACGCATTTATATATGGCCAAACAACCTGTCAGGTATATTTATAACAAATTTATAATACTGCAAATTTCCTTTTTTTAGAGAAAAAATGAGTTAATTTATTTTAAAATTCTTATTTAGGATTGTTTATACTTCTTACCAATAAAATCTTGATTTTCATTCATATTTGCTAACATGGGTATAAATATTGTCTTCTCTGTGACGGACTCATTCTCTTCTGTATGCTCACCTTCACATGCTGTAAATAATTTATTAGCATGTAGAAAAATTGGGATTATAATCATTGCAATAAATGCATTTTTTTCTCATAAAATATAGGCTAAAGACGGACTTTCTCCCGTTTGTCAACTCAACAATTCTGTTCTCATTTTTATCATGAAAAACATAATTTTATACCTTTATCATTTGAACGGGTTTGTTAACTTTTCCAATTTTTTTAACATCCTTGAATTTCCTTACTTAAAGGCAATGCTGTTGAATATAGCAGTGAAATAACTTTTTATAACATTCAAGTATCAGATATCACGTGATCTTGTAGATGTAATGTATGTCTGGTAAAAATCAATTCTACATAAAATGTAATGAAAATAAGACAATAAATGACATGTTTATGATGTAATACAATTCTCTGATAATAAGTTATTGGTATCGACCATCTTGATTTGTTTTATTCAGAAATAACATAGTGAAAAATAGGAGTTATTTTACATTGGCAACACCATTTTGCATTACCATTTGTGAAAATGCAGGTTATGAAATAAGATATCAAATTTTGGGTCATGTTGATGTTATATCTATCAACGTGTCTTGAAAAAGTAAGACTTTCTGCTGAACAAAAGCTATTACTCTAAGGTGAAAATGCCATTTATTCTAAATCTTTTTTCTAAAACCCTCAATTGTATTAACGGATGACTGTATGGACAGTTTTACATGTGCACTATACTTGTGTCACAAATGTTTAAAACCTTAAAATTTGTTGATTTGTTGGTAGGAGATAATTGAAATTGCAACATTTCTTACGCCTGGACATTATTCAGTGACCCCCGGAAGACGAGAAAAGATCATTCCATAACATACCGTCAACACGAAGTAAAATCAGCGTCTCTCGTTCTTTTAGAAAGTCGTAACCATATTCGTTAAGATTTTGTCGCAAGTTCTTTACACCACCATGTTCGTCTGATAACTCTATTATTTCTGAAATAAAAAAAATAAGTCAGCATAAACCAGTCAACAGCTGCCTTGCTTGGTAAAAGCTTGTTTTATAGAATCCGGCCGACGATTTTAGTTAAAGGCTGTAACAGAGTTGTTGAGTAGATTTATTGACCAATATGTTACCAAAAATGAGTAAAGCAAATTAATGAGCCGCGTCATGACAAAACCAACATGGATCCAGATCAGGATCCATGCTGTTCGCTTACAAACCCACTAACAAGTAGAGAAACTGATAGCGAACAGCATGGATCCTGATCTGGATCTATGCTGGTCGCAAACCCATTATGTTGGTTTTGTCATGTCGCGGCTCATTAATCTATACATTATTGTCGTCTGTAAAATACTCTTTGTTGTTGTCTTCCGGAAACGATTACATGATTGACGGCAGCAGAAAAAGTACACCATAAAAAGTCAGTCCAAAGGTAATGTTAAATGTCAAAGGGAGCACATAATATAGAAATTGCATTATAACTAACCGTCATGGTCCATCTTGCATCTTTTCTTAATCTGGTAAAGAAGAACTTCGTTACGACAGTTAATATTGAACAATCTGCTCTCGTTATCTGCAATTAGAAATGTATATTTCATTACAATAACAATTACATTTTTTACTTATTTTCATAATTGTAAGAAATTTTCGATAATCATTTTATGTTCATTTAATGTTGAATTTGATTAAAGATAGATTTATGCAATTATCTAAATGTGTTTTTGGCCAAAATTAATATTTAGCGTCTGGAGGATTCATAATTAAAAATCAAAGCACAGAAGGCGCTGAATTTGTTTGGGTCTCAGAATGTCAGAAAGGTGAAGGTTGTGAGATTATAAACCAATTTGTTTGTATAGTGTCACCAATGCTGTTTCCAGTGTTATAACTATAGTAAGACTAATTGCAACACTGCACTGATATTCAATTCAATGTTTATTTGGCTTAAAAAAAAGTCGTGTTGCCTAAACTGGGATTTGAACTCTAGTCCTCTCGCTTCCAAAGCGAGCGTGTAAACCCCTCGACCGGGCTATAAGATAACAGCCTAAAGAATACCATATAATTATTCTAAATTAGAGTTTGTAACCCTTATTAATTTCGATATATTTTGTTCACGGTAAACCTGTTGTTTAACACTGAAGTAAATAATCATGGAGCTGAATATAAGCATGTATATCTATAAGAATAACACAATATTAGAAAACTTCGACCAATCGGGAACTATTTTTTCGTTACGAAAATTAATGCGCCTGTCATTTGACAATCTTTGCGCAGTGATCTCCCCATATTTTTTCGGCGTTAATGTACATATGAAGGGAAGTAATCGCTTCGAGGAGTTTGGACTACTTTCGGCATTTGCAAATAAGAACATCAGACTCTGAAATTTCGCTACCATTATTTTTTGGTCTGACGACCCACACAAATAAAAATCACGTTTTAGCATCTGCCCAAGCCTGTGTTATGCATTGTTTAATGAACTAAAGTAACATATGGCTTAACTGACAAAATAATGTCTAGGTAAGTGACCTCTGTTTACGGGTATATCTCTAGTGTAGGAGGGATTAAACTGGAAAACAGACATGAAATTCTATATTAAGCTTTATGTGCAATATATAGACTGTTTTAGAGAAAAAAGATTTGGCTTTTATTGATAGTTAATCGAATTTAGAAATTGAACACATAATCGGGTATAATCCTGGGTTATTAGTTATTTTTCTACAAGGATAAATAAGTTCTTACAAAATCACTGGAAATGACATGGTTTGATACTTCATCAGCCCACATTAATTAAATTTATGTCTGTTACAACCTGCTGCCAACATACGAATCACCATTCAATTTGATTGATTGATCAATCTTTTTATTTCTGTACCATAAGTAAAATAAATGGAAATAACGTATACGGAAATGCCTTTATTAGACCTTATTTGAAGTATTTTCGATCAATTTAATCATAGGAAGAAAATCTGTTTTACATAAAAAGAGCGGAGCGAGGATTTTTATACTGCAATAAACATAGGTTTGACAGCTCGACTCTGATTAATATAACAAGTGTAACCTTGATAAATCGAAGATCAATTTCTCCAAACAAGACTTTTAACAGTGTGTGAACGCTGTCATTTAATACAACGAACGCGAGATTTTGATGAGGTTCCCAGGAACTGGTAAATAAAATAAATTGATTTCACCGCACGAATACAATGGTGACATGATAAAATGTGTGAAATTAAATCGAACTCACATTAACTTCCCTTTATATAAACTGTATTCTTTATTTAAACAGCATCTGATTCCATTTACATAAACTACATGTATTTATAACACTAGATTGTTTTGTGTTTACTTTGAATGTCAGTCTAAGCTCAAGATTTATTTTAACAATTTAGATCCCGTTGTTATTTTGATTTAAAATAACTATCAGTATCGTTGTTTTGTTTTTTCCATCTGGAGGTTACTACTCAGTGTCTATTCTAGGACGAGGATTGGGGGGGGGGGTTCACTCATATTTTTGAGAATTCCCCCCCCCCCCATTTTTCAGAGGCAGGGTGGAAATTTTACCTAGAAAAGAAGGATAAAGATCAACAAATGTAATAAATTCTCACTTTTCGATAAAAAAAAAATCCCCCCTTCCCCTGTTTTCGAACCCTGGAATAGACACTGACTTCTGGTATGATTGTTGAATATTTAATAAATTAGATTAGGATTTTACTAAGAAATGACTAAATACAGATGATGCAATCCATAAAAAACACGTATGTACTATAACTACCTATACTTAACTAGATATAATCAGATTTGTTTGTTATAAATCTGACAAAATTTCGAGAACCCTTCAAAAGTGAAGGAGTTTTAAAGACTTGAAGTAGATTCATACTATTTATCACTAAGATGATATTTATATAACAATTTATTTAGTTAAATTGTAAAATCATTCTGATATAAATCTATCTACTACCTTCTCTGGCACGCGACCATAAAAATGTTAAATCTGACAATACACGAAATCATCTAACCTTTAAAGTCTATACATGCAATTTATCGCAAAACAATCGTTGATAATACTAATACATGTTGTAGTTTAATTCATGTGTATATATGTGTTAAACATGCACCGATTGTTTTAATTCTTTGATGTTTTAAACATCTTGCAGTTTGTCATGCTTTTATCTAAGTATCATTTTTATGAACGGTAAATACTACGTACATATATAAAGAAAAAAAAACCAAAAACAAATTAAAACGAATCTACCGTTTACACTATGACCCATAATTAATTACTTGATGTAATATTATGTATTCAATACAAATTGTTAATTGAAAAAAAAAATCATTAGGCTAAAGATGTGAGGGACTTTGTTTTACACTATCTACACCAATTAATGTAGAAATGCATGCTTTAATTGTAACAGCTAGGGGTCAAGTTTATCCTCTTATAATACCCCTAATCTACACTTATGCTTCCCTGATGTGAGGTAGTAAACTGAATGATAAAAATGTATTCAATGACTTCTAGTAGATGTATATAAATTCAAAAAAACAAAAAAAAACAAAACAACAACAACAACAACAAAACACTTACCACCATACCGCACAGTGACGAACATTTTGTGAATTCCTTTTGCTATATACAATTCCAAATAGATGCTGCTGAAAACAATTCAATTCTGATGATATTCCAAAATATTAATTCAAAGTTACGCAACTTTACAGTTGAAATTTATACTTGACTTTTAAAAGGCTTAACTTTTAAACTTCTTTAATCCTTTAATGTAGCATAAATCTGTTATATGCCATTCAATCGCGCTCCAAGGTTCAATGTTCTAAAATAATACAAATTTTCTAACGTAGTCATAAATAAAATCATGAATAGCGTTCTCTCACGTGCACATTAATTTATATTCATTTAGTTTGAACTAAGAACGAATATCTGCTAATGGTAAAACAGCGCGTTCAATAGCAGAAGCAAGATTTCCAATGTCCATTAAATATTTATTCTCAATTTGTAAAATTCATTACAGTGGAATTGAAAAATTGAATCAATGAAGCACGCACATTTGTTCTTCAATTCTATAAGCGTTCGTATCGAGTTACTACGTTTACGAAATGTGTCAACCCCTATCTCTTCATCAAATACTTTCCTTTTCAAAAAAAATTCTCTTTTGTAACTTAAAAAAACCAACAAAGCACTTACAATGTTAAACCTTTGATATTTATTTTTAATTTGAACTTTTTGTGCAAATATTGCTCTACTTAAATTTCGATTCAATCTGATTTTAAAAAATAGTTATTTTTCTCTCATTTTGAATAATTAGTTATCTGAAATATAAAGTTTATCGCAAAATAAGCAATTATTAGCAGCTGACAATTAAACCAAGTCTTTAAATTTGATAGACATTATAGGTATTGAAGTAACGGTAGTATTTGACCCGTTGGCATTTTGTATGTTATATTCGTATACGATAGAGTGTAACAAATTTAGTAGATCATTTTCAGTGGCAATAAACTACATTAAACCCGTAAATCTATATGATAATAGTCTGTTCGATTTAATATGGCATTTACATAGAATGTTTTTCAATTGTGCCGATAAACATATCTTTAATTGTATTTAAAAACTGTTTGATAATTGAATGTTTACGTGAATGTTTACGAATCAAACGGCTGAAAACGTTTTATGTATGTAGTCATGTATATTCTCCCGCCCAAGGATTTCATTCATACCCACTTATTAACAAGGCATATTAAATATCTTGGCACGAGTTTCAAAATGGACAAAACCTATTCAATATACGAAATTGCAAACGGATCTATTTAACAGGCGCACTCTTCCTTGATAATCTCTGAACAAACCAAGAAATAAAAAGCACGTGCAAAGGGCCTTTATTCCATCAAGAATCTATGTTAGAGTTATGGACCCTGAGCAGTGGCCTCCTATTATGCTCTCAAATAAGTGTGTGAAGTTCTAACCCATTACTTTGATTACCTTTTAAGATACATGAACCATGCATGCAAACACCTAACTAAAGTGTGACGCCGACGTGAGTTTAATAGCTCTCCCTGTTCTTCAAATAGTCAGTTAAAATTGGAAAGGCAAGTGCAGATTTATTAAATGCACACAAAAAAACGACACAAAAACACCAGCACGCCAAAAAAAGGAAAGGCATGTCAAGAATTACAGATTCTTTTGAACCCTTATCACAAACAAAGAAAAGCATGTAAAGACGTAATTTCTCCCAAAAATCCATCTCCCCACCAACAAAGGGAAGTCATGTGTGCACTTTCTAAAGAATCTGACATTCCACCACAATAGGGAATCCGTGTGCACTCTTGAATTATCTCATGATTCCGCAGACAAAATATTGAATAACTATAGACATATTGGCAGAATTAAAACTGTTCAATAGAATTTCTTTAAATTCGGCATGTTGTTAGAATATGATAGCAGCGAAAAAAAAATTGGAGTCATCGTCCTCGTTTTGAGTTATCTGTCCCTAAATCAGAATTTTCTTATTATCTGAGGTCAATTCAAGGACAGATAACTTACACATGTCTTTACTTCTGGATTATGATTTTCTTCTTATTGTTAAGCACAATACATAATGACGTTCAATTCCTTATATTATTTTTTTTCTCTTTTTTTTATTTCAATGAAAATAATGGTAGTTTATAGGCCATTTTTTAAGAAAAAAAATGCACAGGTTAAGAAAACTATCCACTCTTAGCTCGTTCTTGAAAATTTGCATATTGACTAAAACGAATGAAAATAAGAAAATAAGGTATTGATTCCCATCATTGTAAATTATCTGCCCTTGAATATAGCACAAAAGTCCAATTAAAGGGGCAGATAACTGGAAAATGAGAACGGTGACCCCATTTTCCCGCTATAATGTTTCTGTTGTCATATTCTAACAACATACCATGTTTAAAAAAGTTTTATTGAACAGTTTTAATTTTGCCATTAATATGTCTCCCAAAACGTCCTTAATACAGAATACGTGGAAACAAGATTTTATATGGTGTGGGATGGAAACATTCACAAGTTTGCAGTCTTAAAATATATATCAGTTTATTAGTAAGACATACTAGTACATTATACAAATTAAATCAAACATGAATCTAAGAGGTTTTTTTTTTATATTTGCACGATATTAATTTTTCACAGGAATAAGCCATTCTCTGATAATTTTAAAGAAAGTATAACAATACAATCTAATTTCGATGATAGATATCGAGTATCAGTGACCTTTTTAACACGTTACGTGACAGATAGAATAGATAGTAAGTTTATTATCCACACATTTCAAAGGGGTGTTCTCGTGTTTACATTTCGGTGCTGTCAACAGAGAATAAATCTGTTTTGGATTATCTGATATATAAAAGTTTTGATGTGTACCTAACCAAATCTCAGGTGCATTTAGATAGATAGCTCAGTGAATAGTAGGTGTGAATTTATTCAATATTGATAAACCATAAATACACCATTTTTGGTGATTAAAGTTGTTTGCACATTAATTAGATGCAATAAATCTGAAATAATCTAAATATAGAGTAGCCACATTGTGTAATGTAATGTCGAGTGAGTACACATCAAGTCTAATGTTCTCGAACATTTAAGTATACTGATATGATCATTGGTCTCTCACTGCTAAATCAGCAATCATGTGGGATTAGTAGTCGGTCAATTGCGGAGAAATTGGTTATGCCAGGAATGCCGTGGATAGGCGCATCGACCGCCAAACATAAGCTTGCTATCACGTTTCAGGAGAATATCTTCAGTTTTTTAGCTCACCTGAGCATGCTCAGGGTGAGCTTTTAGGATCGATGATTGTCCGTCGTCCGTCCGTTCACATTTTGTTGTTAACACTCTAGCGGTCGCATTTTTGCCTCAATCATCATCAAACTTGGTCAGGATGCTTATCTAGTTGATAGCTCGGATGAGTTCGAACATGGGTCATCTCGGATGAAAAACTAGGTCACAAGAGCTAAAAATAGAAAAACCTTGTTAACACTCTAGAGGTCACATTTTTACCTCAATCATCATCAAACTTGGTCAGGATGTTTGTCTAGGTGATAGCTCGGATGAGTTCGAACATGGGTCATCTCGGATGAAAAAGTAGGTCACTAGAGCTAAAAATAGAAAAACCTTGTTAACACTCCAGCGGTCACATTTTTGCCTCAATCATCATAAAACTTGGTCAGGATGCTTATCTAGTTGATAGCTAGGATGACTTCAAACATTTGTCATCTCGGATGAAAAACTAGGTCACAAGAGCTAAAAATAGAAAAACCTTGTTAACACTCTAGCGGTCACAATTTTGCCTCAATCATCATCAAACTTGGTCAGGATGTTTGTCTAGTTGATAGCTTGGATGAGTTTGAACATTGGTCATCTCGGATAAAAAACTAGGTCACAGGAGCTAAAAATAGAAAAATCTTGTTAACACTCTAGTGGCTACTGTTTTGATCCAAATATCCTGTAAATTGGTCTGAAAGTTTGTTTTGATGATTTCTAGGTCAAGTTTGAATATGGGTCACCTGGGTAAAAAACTAGGTCACACTGCTCAAATATGGATAATCCTTGTTAACACTGTAGTGGTCACATTTTTGACTCACCTGTCATGAGACTTGGTCAGAATGCTTGTCTAGGTAATTGTTTGGATGAGTTTGATGGGTCAGGTGAGCGATCTAGGGCCATCATGGCCCTCTTGTTTTACTTATTTTGCATGCAAAACTTCTAGAATTTCATTGGCCTTGTATAGTGACCTTCTATTGTGATCCACGATACATGTGTTAAGTTTCAACTGAATACTAACAGTTATTTTGAAAGTTTGAAAAAAATCTAAACAGAACATTTTTAATACACAAAGGACAAATTCAATTGAAACCATGCAAGAGTTACGGGCCTGGGACAGTATCTCAAATAGGTGTGTTACGTCTTTAGTGGTTGATGAGATTTAAAATTGTACAAGATTGTTATAATCTTAATTCAAAATGATAAGCCAATGACGGCACCTACGTATTTGCATATAAGTAAGCCCCACTACTCCTTCATAGTTTAGCTAATGATTCAATTGCAAAGACAAGTCACAGAGAAATATCTCCCACTATCAACAGCAAGATCAAACAAGAGGGCCATGATGACCCTTATATCACTCACCTGACTATCAAGGCTCTTAAATTCTTAATTAATATTAATAGTGCAAATGTAAACATATGTGCTGCCCCCAGCTAGTTTTTGACCAAAGATAACCCATATACGAACTTTACCTAGAAATCATTTGAACAACCTTGCTGCAAATTTCCAGGATATCTGGACCGAAACAGTAGCTTCTCGAATGCTAACAATGTTCTTATACATGTATAGTATATTTAGGCTGTTTGGCCTAGTTTTTAACCCCAGATGACCCCTATTCAAACTTGAGCTAGAATTCATCTTAACAACCTTTCTGACCAATTTACAGGATATTTGGCCAAAAACAGTAGCCTCTATTGTTAACAAGGTTTCTCATATATGGGCTGTGACCTAGCTTTTGACCCCATGTGACTCATATTCGAACTTGACTTAGAAATCATTTCATCAACATTTCTGACAAATTTTAAGATATTTTGGCTGAAAATGTTTCTTCTAGTGTTAAGGTTTTTCAATATTCGGGCTGTGTGACCTAGTTTGACCCCCGATGACACATATTCTATTTCTGACCAACTTCCAGGATATTTGGACAGAAACAGTAGCCCCTAGTGTTCACTATGTTTTTCTTTATTTGGACTGTATGACCTAGTTTTTGATGCAAGATGACTCATATTTGAACTTGAGCTAGAATTTTTCAAAACAACCTTTCTGGCTAATTACCCAGGATATTTGGACTAAAACATGGCCACGAGTCTTTACAAGATTTTTTTTTATTTTTGGCTCCTGTGATGACAAGTTTGATGTCTATTGGAGCAAGAATGTGACAGCTGGAGTGTTAACGAACTAAATGTGGACCGACAATAGATATTCAATGATTTGGAAAGCTCAGGTGAGCTAAAAATCTTTCACGGATAAGGAAACATTGTTGACAACAATGACATCATAAACTAATGATCATATCCAATCACACTTACAGGATTGTTTATACTTTCATTAACATACTTAGAACTAAGGATTCCACCAACTGATTTTTAAGGCAATGAGGGACATGTCAGAAGTAAAACCACCAACCTAGTTAAACATTCTTATTCAATCATGCTAGCTTACTTACTGAATTGAGCCTCCCTAATCAATTCTGTGTGCACTTAATTATCTGAATGGTTTTTAGAAAGAAAATTTGAAACAAACTAGAAAATAAACTTTTTATTAACAACAGTTATAGACAGGAGAACATGTACATGGTTATTAGTATTATGCCTTACTTTTATGTTTTCATTAATGATATAAAAAATCTATTTGTTGCTTTAATCGAAATCTAACTCTGTTGCTTTAATCAAAATCAAACTGTAAGATATAAATATTTAACACCTAAACTGAGTTCTTTGGTAATTTGGGGGGAAAAAACCCGAAATACAAGTACTTTATGTATATAAAAACAGTGTGTATTTTTTGTAATCATTTGTCTGTGCACAAAAACATGTTCAATATTCTTTTTCATACATGAACATGCATATAAATTGTATTGTATTTTTATGTGTGGAGGAATGTAGGGAGTTAAAGTTACACCATCATTAGTGTACAAATATTAACCTTTAGCTTGCTGGCAGTAACAGATTCTACCAATGTGACCAGTGAAGAAAGATACAGAAACTGAAACTGATTATCAGATGGGAGAATTTAATCATAATGTATCAACATACATGTTTTAAAGCAATAAGAAATATTTCGAAGGTTTACAGTATACACTTTAATTACCAAAAGAAGTTTGTTACATGTAATATCTGAACTGTGTATAGACCTGATAAATTTATCTGAGCAGTCAACGATTCATGTTAAAAAGTTCACATGGACATGTATAGTGCACAGACATTTGATTTTATTTCATAAAATAATTAATAAATAATATATCAACACTGAGATTATTTCCTTTAAAATGTACAATATAAAACTGAGAATCTTAAAGTATGAAAATACAAAGAATGGAAAGAATGGAAACGTGTTGAGTTTAGCTATTGATTGGCAAGACAGCCTTTATTAAATACTAAATAAAATTAAACATTGCTGAGTAAAAAAAGAAATTGCGTTAACTGTGACTTATGAAGCAATGAGTATCCATACAGAAAAAGATAAAGTTGCTTTACAAAAATTATGGATTATCAGATCCAAAAACAAAACAAAAACAACAAAAATCCAAGCAAGTATAAAAGCAAATTCAATGACACAGTAACTGTTACAAAAGATGCAAATGGTAAGGTATAAAAAAAATCTTTCTTTTTTTCTTGTGAAAACTACATAAAAGTTATGTCATACTTCTTAAAACAGCACACCTAAACTTATTTCTATTCTGTCACTTATAAAAGTAAGGGCTACATCTGCATATTTCAACAGGTTTTAAGTATTATTTTGTGGACAGAAAGTAACTTGGGCTTAGTTAAATCATTTCATTATTTTCACTTTACCCACTTAAGAACTATGTACATATATTCCGAGGTGTGCTGTGTTTGTGCTAGTTCAAATAATTACTAAACTAAAAGATCACAATTCATTCAGGACTGGTTGTTGTCTTCATGTTCCTGTACTATGTTAAAATGTATTAGAATTTCTCTGGATCTGAAGTAAGACATTTGTATATCATATAAATACACATGTACATACAAGAGAATATCTTTCTTATTTCATTTTTATAATTAAACAAATCTATAGTTTTGATTACAATGATAGACCATACACATTTCACAAAAGCATTAGTGTTCTTGCACAGATATAGATCACAAAAAGTATATTATAGCTGTGTGCCCTAGATTCTATCTACTTTGATTATGTCTCATAGTCTAGTGAGAAGTCTGATTTAAGTAAACACCTGATTTTTTTACGTATAAAAGAAAATTTCATGTATCAGCAATTTTCAAAAAAGCATAGTGGTTGAACAAGATGCAATATAGTGTTTAAGACTTCCACTGTAAAAAAGCATTAGGATACAAAATCATGGTCACAAAAGGGTGACAAGTTGACAACATCATCTACCATTTGAAATTGTTCATACTGACTGTATCATTATCAAATATTTACAAATCCTCTAAAATATTGTTATCTGTTTAAATAATATTTATTTTATTAATTTATAATAGAAAGCTCAAGTCTCACCAGTCTCACATATAAAGTATATGATTTCTAGAGTATTGTTCAGTAACGAAGTGACAATACAGTGAATTATACACAAAGAAAAGGTAACAATCCTCTCTTAATTTACCAAATGTATCACAATTACATAATACTATAATAATAACACATATGTAACATTTAACTAGGAATGTTTACAATTGTTCTTTACAATTAAGGGAGCATGAACCATATCTTTCAGATTGAAAATGTTATTTAAAAATTTGAAACTCTTACCAATATTAACCTATAAAAGTTTGAAGTACAAAACATTATCAAACTGCAAACATAATCAAACTGCTCATACTTAAGTACAAATCCACCTTTGCCAAAAATTTATGTTTCCATGGTGAAAATTTGTCCAAAAATTGTCTAAAACCTGTCTTAAACAACTTTAAGTAAAAACATGTCTTGAACAACCTTAAAAAACACTTATAATCTCTTATTAATCCCACTTACATAGGAGAAACACATCACAAATTGATATTTCACTTTAATAAACTCTTTCCAGTTTTGGAAAATAAATGGTCTCTGAAATATTCAAAATTTAACCTGAAAGTTACAAAAAAAACAACAATATTATCCCAATGATAGATAAAACTATATGCTGTTGTTGACCTTTTTGATAATCAAAAAGCCGTTGGTTTTTTGTTTTTTGAAAATCACTAAAAAATTACTCTAGTTATAAACATAACAAACGTATATGTGTGTATAAGGGAATATAAGGGAATAAGGAATGTTATGTCAAAAAAATATTCGAACATGAATTTGATATTATGTCATATTGTACATACTAAACCAACTCATATGAAAATTTTAGCAAATCTAGCAAAATATCTTATCACTCAAAAAATTTTTAAAATAAACTCACAGCATAACATACATATCCTCTAATTTTTCACTGTTTATCATATATATATAACATAATTTATACAGATAATAACTCACTAATACAAGAAAATCTTAAGTATAACAATTGGTGAAATAATAATCTTTTATTGCAATGTTTATAATGTTGGTTGGATTTCTTTTCATTTTAATTTTTTTTTGTAAAAAAAGCAATATGGAAACATCACAGAAATAATTGGTCAAAGTTTGAGATTCTTTTCAGTCATCTCTCGCTGTTTATGCCTGGAGTCTTTAACTAAGATGGAATGGTCCATGCTTGTCTTTGATGATCATTATCTTGTCAATCACTGTACCATTCTATAATTATCAAAATTATCAATTTTATACTGAACAAAACAAAAAATTTAAATGTTCAACCTTGGTGGCAGTATGTCATTTCATACTAACAGATTAGACTCATGTGTTACACTTTGGCTGCTAACTTATGTTTATCAGACTTATTTATGATTTCTTTTTGGTTTAACAGCACACCAACACAATTTAGGTCATATTGTGCCAATACAGGGACATGATTTTGGCTAATCTCAGGTGTTACAAACTTAAAGCAACACCAGGGATCAAAACCACCTCACCTGCTGGAGTTTAGAGATGCATCGACTCCAGTTATTTGAAACCATTTAATCGTGTTTTACAATTGCGCAGTGATAAACAGTGGCTGCAATTCTGATTCCAGACAATGGATCAGCCACAAGGGGGATGATTATCAGCACAAAAATTCTTAAATCAAAAAAAAAAGACAAAATACAACAGAAGTCCTTTTACTAAATTTGATTACTAAAGTGTTTAGATCATACATATTATGCACATTCTTAGTAAATTAGATCTGGATAAGATCGTTTTATGTATGACAACTATTAACAAATTATTTTAATTATTCACAGTTGGACATTCATTCTTTACATAGAATTACATTAATTGTATAAATTTTAGTTGCCTTGAGAAGCTCAATTTCTTACGTATCTTAATTCCTTTTTTAATGAATCTATCATAAGGTACATGTATGCAATAATCTTAAAAAACTATCACTAATTTGGTCATTATTTATCTGAATACTCAATATCTAAAATGATACAGCATTAACATGATATCCTAATGATATCTACTCTAACCCCTACTTTGGCTTCATATTTTTTTCCTTACCCTACAACAAAACTAAATGAGTTTAATATAAAAAGACTGTATAACAGATTTTAGGACTGAAATATCACATATGGTCAATATTTTAGTAAAATCTATGGAAAATGTTTCTTTTTTGTTACCTTATCATCAGAGACCTGCTCCAGATAGAGATGTGTATTGTTGAATATCTTCATCCTAGTATAACCATAGTCATCACTACGGAATGCAGACCAGAATGGTTGCTCCTTCTTGAAGTGATCATGAATCTCCTGGCACCCCTGTTTACACAATTTTACAACAATTTTAATTAAAACAATTTTAAACTACAAATAAGTCTACATATGTATGCCCTCACATTTCACTGGTATGTCTATAGACAGACAGTGTGACAACAGGACTACGACCAGGGATAATCTATTTCACAATGCCTATACCATGTCACTTTTTTGTGATCGGTGTGGGGCAGAAAACCAATAGCAGAGTCTTCCTGTACTTTAAACAATCTTTTACAGAAAAATTCACATTCTGATCAAATTTGGTTAATACACTCTACACATTCTAAATAATTTTGAGACATATAACAGAAGCACAATACTTACTGCAGATCCTGTAGTGATATGAACAGGTGCTCTAGGATTTGTGTAAGGTTCATTCAAGCTACCATTGTAAACCTACAATAGATTTTACAAGCATACTTCAGTTCTATACACTATTTGAGTTAACAGGTGCTGTTTCAGATATTTAAATTCAATTTTTACACAGGGCAAAACGAAAGTTGTCCATAGGGCTTATATTTTGTAGACACTCACTAGAAGATGTTTCATGCTTAATATCTAAGCACTAGCTCTATCGGTTATTTAAAAGAAGATTTTTTTAAAGCTTTTACTATAGACATATAAGGAAAATCAGTACCCCATGGACGGGGCCAATTTTGATCCCTGGGCTTTTATTTGAACAAACTTTGTAGACACTCACCAGAAGATGTTTCATGCTTAATATTTAAGATCTAGCGTTTTGGGTTTTTTAAAAGAAGATTTTTGAAGTTTTTACTATATACATATAAGGAAAAGCAATGAGCCCCTGGGGCAGGGCTAATTTTGGCTCCAGGGATTTTATTTGAAAAAACTTGATAGACACTTACTAGAAGATGTTTCATGCCAAATATCTAAGCCCTACCTCTTGTATTTTTTCAAAGAAGATTTTTTAAGTTTTTTTCTTTTGGTTGCCATGGCAACCAGAGTTCTGCATGGTATTAAATTCTTTGAACAATTTTAAAGGTGACAATCAAAGGAACATTCCTGTGAAGTTTGGATGAAATTGGCTCAGTGATTTTTTTTTTATGAGAAGATGTTTACAGAGTAAAAGTTTACACAAGGACGGACAACGGACGAAAAGCGATCACAAAAACTCACCCTGTCACTTTGTGACAGGTGAGCTTAAAACACTTTAACAAAGTTCAAACTACAATTTCTTAATGACTGAATACCATTTAAAAATAAAGCTAAGTCAGTAAATATTAATGATGCCTTTCTCTCATATTTATACTAATAATGTTCTGCATAAATTATAGGAAAGTGCTTAAATCTTTAACATTTGAATGAAATAACTTTAGAAAGTAGCTGTAAGAAAGGAAAGTGAAATAGGTTTATCCACAAGTTACCTTGTGCTTGTACACAGGCCAAAGTCTCTCATAGGAATGTTCATGTGCCCAAACACCAAGATCCACCCCATACTTGAAGAGTACATCATCAAGACCATAGGTGTCAAAATATGGTATACCATCTCTTACCTACAAAACAACGTTACCTTTTTACAACAAATATATTAAGCAGTTTACATACACCTTGACATTGTCTGCATTAAAAAACTGAAGCACATCCTAACAATGTTCTGTATGCAAGTCTTACAAGCTTGAAATGTTAATTTTTCACTCAAAAGAGAATAGGATTTTACCCTAAGCAGCATTATATGGTATATTTATTATCATTACACAACTTCACCAATATTCCTGTATTCCACACAATAACTAACCTAATTGCTATTGAACAGAATCTTCTCCATCAAAGTCACTTGAATTTGAAGTGAAATACAGTCAATAACTTGCCCATGCGACCACATTTATTAAGCGACTTTTGTCTTATGCAACTGTAAATTCACCCTGATCATTTTCTCTCTATATTGTTACTATATAAAGCGACTTTTGCTTAATGCGACTAGTGACCACTAATTTGTCAGCTAATTGAGATCAATCTTTTTATCAAACAACCACTTTTACCTTTCAAGTATTTGTGTTTCTAGAAAAAGCCGCCTTGTGATGTCACAATTGTCAACAATCAAAACATAATATATAAATGTGATAAAAACTCTATTTCCCAAACTGTATTAGCGTATGCAAATAAAGTTAAGTATATGGTGATATGTATTATCCAATAAAATCAACAGAACAATGCAACACTCCTGTACAAAGAACCTGTTAATAAATATCTGATAAAGCAAAAAATATAAACTCTGTAAGGAAGAGTTACATTCATTATAAACTTACCCAGGAGTGGTCTCTAGTGCAGTCATCTTGATCACTGTTAGAACAGTACATTGGTCTATGACCCATTACAATAATCCATGGTCTCTTTTCACGGTTTTCTTTTTTATTTGCTTTCTATAAGTGAATTCAATATACATTATCAGATAATTCATATAAATAACTAATACATACAAGTTCACATAAACAACTGAATAAATAACATCATTAAAATAAACTTAAAGGGTACAAAAAAATTTCAACCCTTCCACAAAAGTTTTAACTCCAACCAAGTTAATATTATCATGTTATTATGAGTCACCATCTCATTAAGAACGTATATTCGAGTTCACAGGAAAAGTCAATATCGTAATCTTTTATTTAATTTTTTTTCTGCAGGAACCAAAAGCAATAGCCTTTGCCACTACTATAGTATAGAGCCAGACCAGCCAGCACATCCATGCTGATAACTCATTTTTTTTTTTCATTCTGACATTGAAATAACAAGATATGTTTGTAAAACATGTATGCCCCCTATCGGCAGCCAATTAGTCATGTGATCAGTTTATTATGACTGACTTTTGACCTAGTGACCAAAAAATCAATGAGGCTTAACAACTGGTCATGACTAGTCACTAGGTAATTGTGACCGCAAAGGTTGTGTGCAGCAATTTTATGACAAAGTTATTTCAAATCTTACCAAATAATACACGCATAAATTTTGTGAATCATGTAGGCCTCATTAATGACAGCCAAGTTGTTATATTACTTAAGACCTTGAAATGCGTATACCAAAAGGATTTTTAGTTTAATAAAAAAATAACAACCAAGGCAACTTGAGTTGGTGAGTTATTGGTCAGAAACAGTCTTTACATACAAGGTCAATATGACCATTATGAAATACAAGGTCAATGCAACCTTGACCTTTCTTCCCCTGACCACAAATCATTAAGGGCCATCTACTGGCCAAGACCAATGAACCTTCAAAATTTGAGGGCCAAAATCCATAGCTTGTCAAGTAATACATAGGAAACCTTTTTAACAACAAGGACAATGCAACCTTAATCTTTGACCCCTTGACCCCAAAATCAATAAGGGTCATCTACTGGTCAAGTCCAATGCACCTACCAAGTTTGAGGGTCAACAGCCCATGGGTTGTCAAGTAATGGATTGGAAACCGTTTTTACCTACAAGGTCAATGTGACCTTGATCTTTGACCCCTTGACCCCAAAATCAAAAGGGGTCATCTGCTGGTCATGAACAATCAATATACCAAGTTTGAAGTTCCTAGGCCTAAGCGTTCTTTAGTTATTGATCGGAAACCGTTTTTACCTACAAGGTCAATGTGACCTTGACCTTTGACCCCAAAATCATTAGGGGTCATCTGCTGGTCATGAACAATCAACATACCAAGTTTGAAGTTCCTAGGCCTAAGCGTTCTTTAGTTATTGATCGGAAACCGTTTTTACCTACAAGGTCAATGTGACCTTGACCTTTGACTCCTTGACCCCAAAATCAATAGGGGTCATCTACTGGTCATGAACAATCATCATACCAAGTTTGAAGTTCCTAGGCCTAAGCGTTCTTTAGTTATCTCTCAGAAACCATTTGGTCTATGGACCGACAGACCGACCAACAGACAAATGCAAAGCAATATACCCCCACTTCTTTGAAGGGGGGCATAATAATAAAAAATTCAATTGACAGATTCAAAGTTTTAGCAAATGCATTACACAAATTCAGCATGTTTAGGAAATCAAAGATCATATTAATGAATGTTATTTGTTTGTGTACCTCTAAATCTTCAAGGAGCCAGTAGTACTGTCTGAATGCTTGAGTGATTCCATATTGTAAATAGAAATAGTACTCTGTTGAGATGGATATAATATGAGCTGGACCAATGTCAAAGCTGAAAATATAAAAAAAATTTAGGTCATATATAACAGTTGATTCACATTTTATAATGATACCTTTTAGTAATACTGCATTTATTTCTCATTCATTATAATGATAGTTATCATGTAATACTTACATCTAGTAACATAGATATTTTGATACATTTCTTTTTAGTATGTGTACTTCACAAACTTTCCTGTTCTTAGCAAATGAAAGAGAACAACTCTTTTTTCTTTTTCAGTACATGACCTTGACCTTTGAACTCAATAACAATAGGTGTTATTTAAACCTATCATCTAATCCATCTGTGAATGTAGAAAAATTTAATGTTCTCATGTTATTTGATAGGGCAAGGTGTGTAAGAACAAACCTTCCTGCCATATGTGAAAACTTTTCAGATCTATGTAAAACAACTTTTGAAACAAAATAAAATATGGCAATCAGAATCTTAATTTACAGCCATAATCTGGGTCATCTGAGAGAAAATTTTACCATAGACTACTGGTATCGATATATATATGTAAATTAAAGGAAACAGACAAAAAAATCCTTATACATACCTGTAAAACATCTTCTCACCATTCTCATCTGTTGGCATTGTGAATCGATTTTTGTAGTGTGTGAAATTACTGGAGAGAAAAAGAGATCAAACACATGTTTCAATGTTTTCTTTTTTCTTTTCTTTTCTTACATATGAAAAATTGTATAAAAATGCTGTTAAATTAACATTTTTTTTAATAAAATCATTGTCTAAAAGCCCTATATAACATTGCTGCCTTTTGGTAGAAATCATTGCTTTTTCTATGTTTCTATTTAACATAGTTACAGTATCACATGATTAATATGATGTAAGATTTTTGCATTTTTTTCCTTTTGTGAATAAACAAAATGAAAACAAAACAAAATGAAACTTAACTCAAGTGTTAAGGGAAGTTAATTTGCATGAATAATTAAAAACACAGGCAAAAAACAAGTCAATATATAGGGCTTATAATATATTAAATGAATTTTGAAATGCGAATTATATACCTGACCTACATTTGAGATAATTTGAAATGGATCCAATAAACCCAGAACATTTTCACAATACAAATGACATGTTAGTATACAATTACTATCATACACATCTGTTACATTATATGCTTAAATGTTTAATTGTGAAAAACATCAATATCAAGCATTTGATATATTTGTAGTTAAATATGTAAAAATGTTTTTCTATTGTATGTTCACTGAAAATGATTATATGATAGCAACTTACTATTTATATTCATGGTTACCGGGGCATGTCATGTAAGGTAAACAAGCTGCAAGAGGCTGTATCATGTTCATAAACTCATCACCAACACGGCCATTGTTCTAGACAATAAAATATATATTATTAATTTACAATAAAATACCTATCATATTAAACACAATTAAATACTCAAAATAAACTATATTATTTCATACAATATCAAAATAGTTGTAACTAGCAATTAATGCAATAAATGCTTATATATCTGCAAATATATATACAAGTATGAAAGTGTTAAAAACACATTTCAGAACAGGTCTTAATTACAAGCCGTATATCCCTTATTGTCAAAGACATTAATTTCAACATTAATTTCATCTGCAATAGTTTGAATTAAAAAAACTAGCTTTACCGAATCCATATCATATGCCATGTCACCTAAAAGAGAAAAGTTGTTTTAGTTTATATTTGCTCAATGAAAATGGGTTCATCAGTCATAATAAATCACAGACTTAAAAATAAAATTTTTAAAGCAAGTCGGGGTAGGAACTAAGCAATTTTCACTATAAATTGGGAATTATGACTAGCCCTAAAGAAAATCTATTAGTTTTTTTTGCTGCCAGTCTAATTTTGGTTTTAGACTGTTGAAATTTAATTTTCTCAATCTAGCATGTTTAAAAACAAATTCATAAATCTTTATCACCAAATTGGTCATGCTATCATAACTTTATTGCAAATAAAAAAAACCCCAAATATACTCAATATCTAGTCTTAATTTGAATTATAGGAAAATGCTCTTAAATATGCAATGGATGTACATTGTATATGTATGTTAAGTCAGAGTTAACAGACTATTAATACAACACTAAGAAAACCAAAAAATAAATATTTTACATTTTTTTTTACCTAACTTAGGAGTTACACTTCCAACAGTATGCAAAACTTTAGATTGGACTTACCAACATGAAATATAGAATCGTACAAGCCTTCATCATTGTCCAGCATCAGACGTTTGAGAGACTGACTGTTTGAGTAACCAAAATCTCCATACAAGGCGATATGAGGAGACCAGTCAGTACCTTCCTTCATTGTTTTAAAGCTGTATGTGTCACTCCATATATCCTCTACTGAACTGCCAACTCTATACACTAAAATAATAAAATTCATCAAAATACATGAATATTTGTGAACAAAATGAAAAATGATAACCAACTTTACATTAACATGTATGCAATAATAATTACATGAAAATAGAAAAGTAAACAAAAATAATTTCAGGAAATATACTTACAATAAGGTGCCCCAGGTTCAAGCCCTCTGAATTCTACTCGGTGGATGTACTGTGTATGGTGCTCAGTGCCAGGGTCTACAAATTTTGTGCTGCTACCATTAACCATTGCACTTAACTGCTTTCCTTTGACTGCCGGGCCAATCATGGCAACAGTTGTTTGTGTTTCGTTCATTGTACTCCATGTTACTACCATACGAGATGGGTCAACTGAAAATTGAAGGATAAAGTAAGCTTTTATTGTCAAGAAGCAAACAGGACGTTTCGACTCCAAACCAAATTGGCCCGTGCAAAAATCAGCCGCTAGACATTTCGGTCCTTTTCTGAGAGACATTTCGGTCTTGTTTTATGACTTACAAAAGAATTTTCATACTTAAAATCGTAAAAATGTTGTAGTATATTGATTGATTGCACACAAACAATTGAGATACTTTAATCCTTAATTACTAATCCATTATCTATTGATCTCTTAATTTAACTATTTAGATAAATGTTATTTTTTCAAGGTGTAAGAATTAGTAAAGACACTTTAATTTATAAGGCAGTTGACAAACTGCAAAAACTTTTGATTATAAAATCATAATTCAATTATTCAATTAATTCTCTCATTCTTTTTATTCATTCATTTATTGATAAGATCTGGGACATACAATAACGGGACGGGAAACACAGAGATTAGCGCTCCTGTGTGTTTTCGTCCAATTGGGAATCAGCGCCGCCATTTTACAAATTTAGTTCAAGGCGGAGGAAATGTTCGTCAAGAAAATTGATCGGTATGTTTACTATATGTGGTTGAAGTCCTCAGAAAGTAAATAAAATAATTCTGTAAGTATCATGACATTGATCCGATGTATTTTTAACATGGTGTTTAAAGTTTTTAATGTGAAAACTGTGTTCTGTTGAAGAATAAAAATCTCAATCAAACTGATGTTGTTGTGTTGATCGCCGTGAAAGGGTAATTTTTGTCTGCAAAACTTCGTTTAAAGAAGTAAATTACAAGAAAACTGGCAAAATATTTTGAAAGATCCTTTAAATATCTTTGGTTTAACATTAAGATTATGGAACTTTAGTGAGTTAAAATGAAATTTTACGGGTTTTAATTTTATGAACTGTGACAAAAATCTGAAAAATAAAATTGTGGAATGCTAACGTGATGTACATTTTTTGTCCCGTAAATGAACGTTGTATGTCAATTAAATTTGTCCCATGTAAGTATTTTTTAATAAAGCATAGACATATTTATAGCAAGAGAGTAGAATTGGATCAATTATTTTGTATGATTTTTCATTATGCAGTGTCAAATTTCAACAATTTTTTTGGTGAAATCTGAGACCAAACCATAAATTGATGAATTTGCAGTTAAGTCGTTTGATATTTAAAAAGTAGAAAAAATCATGTTTTAGAAATAGGTAGGGTTTCTTTTTATTTTTGAAAACCATAATTTGTTATCTGAATGAAAAAAAAACAACATCTTTATTAAAAATTATAGATTCCTTAGCTGTGTCATTGGATATCATGAAGGATATCCTGTCATTGTGTCAATTGTTATTTGCAATTTTATAGTTTTTTATTTCTTTATTTTTTTGATAATAAATATCAATCTTAATTGCAGGTTTATTGAAGATTGAAAACTTTCCATCAGATGCTTTCTTCACATATTTCTTTTTGCTTGAGAATACCAGTAATGATAAACAAGTTACTGAGTGTAAGGTCACATTAGATACCATGAATTTGTCGGTTCAGATGGACACTCTGCAAATGAAGTTTATGCCATCCAGTTATCTCGATTTATGACAGTGTTGTAATCAGTGATTCGCCAAGGATTAAAATATGTATTTGTGTCACAGAGAAAATGAAGTTGGCATATATTTGATGAAACATTTTTTCAAAGCTGCATGCCTCCAGATGACCAAAAATATTCCAAAGAAATTACACTTGGAAAATAACATACTAAAACTTTAAGAAAAGTAAACAGATTAAAGATTCAAGAGATAATCTATATCTGATGTGCAATTAATGACTGTATTTTGCAGTATTTATCACCATATTTATACTGCGTTACTAACCTATTAGGGGCCATTTATGCATATTTTGACTTCTTTTTTGTAATTGATGTAGATTATAAGTGCCGATTTCAATGTGTCAAGTACTTTCTTTGTTCATTTCACAATATTTTACACTTCAAAATTTTCTAAAAAATTAGGATGAATCTGGAGGCTTTTAGTAAAATTACAATTTTTCATAGCATTTTGGTTTTTCATTGAAAAGTTTTAATAAAGAATTCTCCATTATAATAATTAAACACACATGAATTTGTATGAAAATTCACAATAAAACATTCTGCGACAAAATATACACTTCTATTTCTATTTAATTAAGGGTGTTTTTTTTTGGCGCATCTCATCTCATTTTGAAAACAAGAGCACCGGAGTATTATATGCACGAAAATTGTTGTTTTATTTTTAGCAAGACATTACATAAATTTAATAAAGTATAACCTCCTTCAAATAGCAATCCTCCTATAAAGTTTGAATATTGTGGGCCAAATGGAACTTAAGTTATGCTCTGGAAACTGTTTTCAGTTTGGAGGTAATAGCCACCTTGAACTTTGACCTTGTGACCCTAAAATCAATAAGGGTGTTCTACCCAATATGGACAATCATCCTATGAAGTTTGAACACTGTGGGCCAAATAGAAATTAAGTTATGTTCTGGAAACTGTTTTCAGTTTTAAAGTAATAGTGATCTTGACCTTTGACCTTGTGACCCCAAAATCAACAGGGGTATTCTACCCAAAATGGACCATCATTCTATGGAGTTTGAATATTGTGGGCCAAATAGACCTTAAGTTATGCTCTGGAAACTGTTTTCAGTTTTAAAGTAATAGTGACCTTGACCTTTGACCTTGTGACCCCAAAATCAATAGGGGTGTTCTAACCAATATGTACAATCATCCTATGAAGTTTGAACACTGTGGCCCAAATGGAACATAAGTTATGTTCCGGAAACTGTTTTCAGTTTTAAAGTAATGGTGACCTTGACCCTTGACCTTATGATCCCAAAATCAATAGGGGTATTCTACCCAATATGGACAATGATCCTATGAAGTTTGAATATTGTGGGCCCCTTGGAACTTAGGTTATGCTCCGGAAACTGTTTTCAGTTTTAAAGTAATAATGACTTTGACCTTGTGACCCCAAAATCAATAGGGGTCTTCTACCCAATATGGACAATCATCCTATGAAGTTTAAACACTTTGTGCCGAATGGGACTTAAGTCATGCTCTGGAAACTGTTTTCAGTTTTTAGGTCAGTGACCTTGACCTTTGACCTTGTGACTCCAAAATCAATAGGGGTCTTCTACCTAATATGGACAATGATCCTATGAAGTTTGAACACTGTTAGCCAAATGGGACTTAAGTTATGCTCCGGAAACTGTTTTCAGTTTTAAGGTCAAAGTGACCTTGACCTTTGACCTTGTGACCCCAAAATCAATAGGGGTCTTCTACCCAATATGGGCAATCATCCTATGAAGTTTGAATATTTTGGGGCAAATGGAACTTAAGTTATGCTCCGGAAACCAAATTGCTAACAGACGGACGGACGGACGTACCAATTTGTCAGGTTTATGAGCTATTTCTATTGTTCTTTTCTTTTGTTTCCTTGTGGGCTAACTATTGTTTCCTTATGAGCTAACTATTATTTACAGAATGAAGTCCTTTGTTCTCTTTTGTCCCAGTGTACCGTTAGTTAGCTCATATACCTAAACTATTTGTGCCGATGGACGGACAGACGCCAGGGGGTATAACATAATATGCCCAAAATTCTTTCGGGCATATAAAAATATGGATTATGTAACTATTGAGTAATGATATATATCATCAATATTTTTTTTGCAATTCAAGATATCAACTATATAGCTTTATACCCTGAAACAAAAAGTTGGTATGCAGTGAGTATTAGTGAAATATTTTGTATTCCAATTATGTTTACATTTGTACAGCTAATATTCATAACATGAAATAAATATTTAAAAAAAATCTTTTGTAATGTGTAATATTTTAATAGGGTGTTTTTTTATCAACTAGGTAGTCCTTCATGCTGCCTAGCTTTTTAATAAAAGTGTAAAAGACTTTTAATATGTCAGTGGTTCAGTATAACAAGAGCTGTCCGTAAGACAGCGCGCTCGACTTTTTTATTGCTTGCCAATAAAAAAAGTTTTTGCAGTAAAAGGCAATACAAGAATCTCTGTATTTTTAAAGTGAACTAGTTGTTTGATACCCTTGAATATTACAGCAATGTTTATATGACATAATTTATGGTAAAGTGAACAAGTGGATAGGAATGAATTTTTTTAGATTTTTTAAGTTTTTTAGTGCTTGCCTATAATACAAAACATTGACAGTTAAGGGCCATAATTCAAATAAAATCTTTGACAGAATTACCTTCTCCTGGACATGTTTGGGAATCATGATTGTAAGCAAGTATTCCAACTTTCAAATTAATATCTCAAACAGTTCAGTCAAAAAGTGGACTGGTACTAAAAACTTAACCAAGATTCTAAGTCGATAAAAGGCCTTAATTTTTAAAACAAATCCTTGACAGAGTTACCTTCTCTTGCGTACAGATGGGGGTAATGATGTGAAATATAGCATTAAAAGTTTCAAAGCAATATCTCAAAGGGTTAAGGCAATAAGTGGATTTTACCCATATTCAATGTATTTTCTAAGTCAAAAAGGGGCATAATTCTGTCAAAAACCTTGACAGAGTTATGTCCTCTTGTCTGTTGATGAAGGTCGTGATGGTAAACAAGTATGGTCAGTTTCAAAGCAATACCTCCAATGGTTTTGAAATAAAGTGAGGTGGTACAAAAAACTTAACCAAGCTCAATACACTTTCTAAGTCAAAAAAGGGCCATAATTCTGTCAAAAACCTTGACAGAGTTATGTACTCTTGTCTGTAGATGGAGGTTATGATGGTGAACAAGTATGGTAAGTTTCAAAGCCATACTTGTAATACTTCTGAAATAAAGTGGGGTGGTACGAAAAACTTAACCAAGGTGTGACGCCAACGCCGACGCCGACGCCGGGGCGAGTAGGATAGCTCCCCTTTTCATAGAAAAGTCGAGCTAAAAATCACAAATATTGTCCACTGGTCTGATGCATATATATACATAACAGAAGTGTCACATGACAAATGGGTGTCGAAGCTGGAACTCTAACCATGGGTATGTAGGTTGATGACCAGTATGCTTACAACTTCACCACAGTGGCCTTTGCAAATATGAAAGTGTGTATTCATTTCATATATGAACATTGCATCTTAAATGCTATCTTTTTGAGTTATAATTTATAATTAAAACTGTCATTCAACAGCATTTTTGAAAAGGGCATTGTTGTGTGTAGTAAGAAAACAATCCATTCAAAAATGAAGATGAAAGCTTAATAAGAACATAATTCCAAATATACAGTCAACTATCGTTATCTCGACATCGTTTTTCTCGATATTTCGTTATCTCGATGAAAATATGAAAGTCCCGATTTTCTTCCTTCTTTATTTATATTGGAAATATTTATTAATCTCGATATTTTTATTTCGATATTTTCAGTATCTCGATGTAAAATTTCAGCCCCAACAATTGTTTTCACACTATAATCCTTTGTTTATCTCGACTAATAGTTTTCTTCCATTTGTTCCCTTTAGACGTGTGAAAAACACGAACTTGACGATAATTGCTCAATAGCACGTGTCATAATGATGATTTATTTGTATCAAGTTTAGCTGTTACAACATCACCACCAAATCAATCAGCGGTCGAACAATCTCGAGAAAGACCCGATAAATAACCCGGGAGGATATGCAGATCAACCATCCTGAAAACAATGTTTTCACTATATCGGTGTATTACTGAGTAAACCTCACTATGTGTTTTTATCACGGACACCCATATTTCCGCTGGTAAACATCCGCTTATGTTACTTTGTTAAATATTGACTAGGCCTATGAAAACAAGACATGGGAATATCATTGTTTATTTGACATAAGGTATGCACATGTCTTTTGTAAAAATCAGTTTCTGACTTATTTAAACCCTTAAATGTTTATCTCGACATTTCGTTATCTCGATATTTTTTGGACGGTCCCGATGACTTCGAGATAACGAGAGTCGACTGTATGTGAAAAATATGTTAAACATCAAAAGGTTTTCTAAGGCCATTATACAAACAAACATTAATAAAACAATGGTCAGACATTTCATTAAATCAGAAATTATAACATGTTATAATCATGTTTATAGCAGCTGTACACTTTAATAAGCAGATATATACACAAGTGTCTATATATTAGTATACAGTGTAATTGGAATGGACTTTGAATTCATTTCTGACTTAAAATAATGTTTTCTACCATCAAATACATATTTTGTGAACATTCAATGAGCCGTACCCCTTTGGGAAAGAATAGTCTGAAAATTCTGATCACAATTCTCAGAAAAATAAAGAATATACACCAAAGACTGAAAACTTTGCATTAACAAAACAGCTGTGGGACATTTTAGTTTGTTACGTAAGCAGGTAAACTATAATTTTTGTTAGGACATAGGTCCATTAATTTATATTTAATGTATCGTATTTCACAAAAGGTTTTCGTATAAAATAAAATATGTAACTTGTGCAGTTGTTTACCTCCGTAAGCCAAGTGAATCTGCTCTGGGTTTAGAAATTTCTGTGATTTCACCAAGGTGAAAAGCAAGAACAACGCACAAAAAAGTGCCTTCGGTCCCATTTCGTTGTTGTTATTGAATGTTCTCGTCACGTGAAATTTACTGGTCTCCTTCTGCTTTCTTGGTTGGATGCCGTTTAAAAACTAGGAAGGGTACCAGTAAGTCAGGTGAGATCTTTGGTATAAACCGTTCTTTTACGTACTATAACAGTATAGATTTATGAGATACGGAGTCGGCCCACTTCATTTTCGAAATTATTATTTTTGTTGTATATCTATCACATCCAATCACTATTTTACAACCATATCCGGTACAGGAATTTGGTTGCTAGTATTACTTTAAACAAAATACTATCCAAGTATATTTAGCAGAATTAATAATATTTATTACATGCTTTTCGGTGGTTTATATAAATATATCAGTGATATAAAATTGGTAATTTTTGAAAATTTCACTGTTTTGAATTTAAGCCCCTTACGTTGTTTCAGTGAAATACCAGCGTGCACAGTACTGGGTACCAACTTAATGACGTGACGTCGTAAATGACGTCACGTTGTATTATTATTTGGCGCGCTTTTCATTCAGTATTGGGTTAAATGTCCTTTTAAAACGTTTCTTTGCATGTAATAAAAAGAAAATTTGTTTAGTTTAGTGTAAGATCGAAATATATTTCACCTTGTGAACACCAAAAGTTCATATTTCACTCGTGGCTGCGCCACTCGTGAAATATACCTTTTGGTGCTCACTCGGTGAAATATATTCCGATCTTACACTGAACTAAACAAATATCCTCTATAACATTATCCCCATGAACATTTTCTGCAAATTTTTATTTGTGCAATCAAATAATACATTTATAATATATTTGGAACAAAATCCGAAAATATTTAAATATTGGGGGTTCTTTTTTTCCTTTTTATATCATTTTAAACATATACAATTACATAATTATATTAAGGCAGTTTATCTCAAAATAAAGTCATTATTATTTATAATAAATTTTGTTACTGAAATTTGAAATTAAAGCACCGTCTGCCTTGTCTGCAGTGTCCCGAAATATGGTCCACCCTGTCTCACGGTTCTCCCCATCCTACGACCAACAAAGTGACACCTAAATAATTATAACACCATGTATCAAAAAACAAAACATGGATTAATTTATAAAAAGCCATGTCAGACATTATTATATATCAGGAATTACACAAAGAGTTGCATCAAACTCTATTTTCCACTGTAGTATTGTGTTTGTTTGGTTTGGTTTAACAGCATACCAACTCAATTTAAGTCATGTGTAACATATATCACAATAAATAAATTACAGCTGAATAGATGATCTGAATAAAGCAATAATTTAAATAATTTTTTTCCATTATATATATAATAAGCATGTATGACTAAAGTCAGGGATTTTTTTTTGGCTTATTTTATAGCCAATATTCGGTCATATTTCAAGGTGAAAATAGAATATTATTTTCCCAATTCACAGGAAAAAATTCCCAATTGCAAAATAAAAATATTAAATAACAAATTCTAAAATCTTTGACAAGAGGGCCATGATGGCCCCGAGTCGCTCACCAGAAACAACTGTTTTTCAGTGTTGGAATGTCAATATGTAAAGGTATTTCTATTTTTAGCTTTTGCAGCCCCTAAAAGAGGCCAATCAAAATAATATTAGCAAACTTGATAAAAGACTACCCAAGTATGCTACAGACAAAGTTTGGTCATCATCCATCAATTAGTTCTCTAGAAATAGACATTTAACGGTATTTCTATTTTTAGCTTAAGTGGCCCCTAAAAGGAGACAATCAAATTAATATGAGCAAACTTAATAAAACACTACCCGAGAATGCTACAGACAAAGTTTGGTGATCATCCATCAATTAGTTCTCTAGAAATAGACTTTTAACAGTATTTCTATTTTTAGCTTTAGCGGCCCCTCAAAGGGGCCAATCAAATTAATATGAGCAAACTTGATAAAACACTACCTGAAAATGCTACAGACAAAGTTTGGTGATCATCCATCCATTAGTTCTGTAGAAGAAGATGTTTAAAGGTTTTTCTATTTTTAGCCCTAGAGACCCCTAAAAGGGGCCAATCAAAATAATATTAGCAAAATTGATAGACTACCTAAGAATGCTAAAGACAAAGTTTGGTGATCATCCATCAATTAGTTCTGTAGAAATAGACGTTTAAAGGTTTTTAAATTTTTAGCTTTAGCGGCCCCTAAAAGGGGCCAATCAAATTCATATGAGCAAACTTGATAAAAGACTACCCAAGAATGCTACAGACAAAGTTTGGTGATCATCCATCCATTGGTTCTGTAGAAGATGTTTAAACGTTTTTCTATTTTTAGCCTTAGAGACCCCTAAAAGGGGCCAATCAAATTAATATGAGCAAACTTGATAAAAGACTACCCAAGAATGCTACAGACAAAGTTTGGTCATCATCCATTCATTAGTTCTGTAGAAGAAGATGTTTAAAAGGTTTTCTATTTTTAGCTCTGAAAATATTTAAATATTGGGGGTTAAATAATTTAAATAAAAGAGGCCAATTGGAATGACATGAGCAAATTCAAGTGTGACTGTCACAAGGATGCTACAGACCAAATTTGAAGTAAATCTGCTCAGTAGTTTCAGAAAAGAAGACAATTGTTGATGCATGACGACGGACGCCCGAGCATCCCCCTTTGATACTAATAGCTCACCCTGAGCCTTCGGCTCTGGTGAGCTAAAAAAAGGGCTGTTATGGTGTATAAATGTTTGAAGAAGCCATTTTAAACAGTGATTCTTTGCATTCATTAAATCACTGCACAATTAAAGTCATGCAATTTTCCAAAATTTTAAAAAAACATCGCTGAAATTTCCGATTCTATGGGTGTAAGTCATGTTCCCAAATTCATGGAAAAAACCCTGGAAGTACAGACTTTATTCATGTGAAGCATGAGAAAATGATGCTTTTATTAAATGTAAGGATCAAATAATTTCAGACAAATGTAGAAAACTATATCATTACAAAATGAAACATCTTAACATCAAAAAGTGACCCTTTACATTTTCTTAACATATGTACTTACACTGAGTATTAAAATTATGAGTTTGGTATTTAAGTCATTGTCCAGATTTTGGTCTGCTGCAGTTTGCCACAAGGTTGTTTACAGTAAACAGACGTAACACTTGTTTTACAGAATTTATTGATTTGTACTTATTTTAACAAGCATAAATACATGTATATAATCATATGTTTTTTTATACATACATTTAAAAACCTATTGAGTAATTTACTTTTATACTACAAATGAATGTTTAACAATAATTTTCATAAATAATTATCACATCAAGTAACTATCACCTCAAACTTAAAAAGAGAATGAATATTGCATCTTGATTTCAGTTTTCACTGACAATAAAACACTCATATTAAATGTAAACATACAAATAATAAAGGTGGAGAGAAGTTTACTGTTAATAATAAGTTATAAATATATGCAATGAAGTACCGTTTTCATTAACTAAATATTAAAATTAGTCTTCAACTGAAGAATTTTTAAAACAAAGTCAACGTCATGCAAATATTTTTAGTGTAAACTTTCCACCTTGAGATTTGTACTACTGTTTTAATTTTGACTCCATATCCTTTCATTAACACTTTTAGAGATTATAAATTTAAAATGGAGGATGTGAAGTAAAATTAACAAATCAGCAATAAATATTCATTAACAAAAAAAACTCTCAAAAAAAATATCTCTAAATATTTAACAAATAACAAACTTACAAAACGAAATTTTTAAAAAAAGGTAAAATTTGGAAAACTATAATAGGTAACCACTAGAATCCAACATTTGACAATGTTTAGCTACAAGTAAATCTTTCACTTGAATTATCGTAATTACTAAAATCTCCTTATGTTTACACAATTTTGTGAAAAATTTATACCTTTAAGCAATTGTGTATCCAAAGTTTTGAAAGTTTTTTCACCTAAACATGACAGTAATATGAACAGTCAGATTAATTTTCTCAAAGCAACTCACTCATCACATTACATACAGTAACTTGACAGTAAATGTACACTTTTACCACTCATAACAAATATTACATACAAGTATCAAATTATAAAATATTATTTGTTATCTGCATGAGATCATATTAAACATAATATTTTATTTTAATATAATAATAAGATTATTTTCAGCAATCAGGAAACCATAATTTCAAGCAATATAAAAATGAGCACCATCTTAAACAAACATTTTATTCTAGTAAAATTCATACAACAAAACATATACACATACATTTGTAAGTCACACAGAATCACCTTGTCCAAAGCTTTATTTTTTCCAATATATGTTGGTCCCTTACACTTTTGCACATATATGCAATAATCTTAAAGTAATTGAGGTACAAATCCCAGTATTGTTACCTTGCTCTCCCTGGACTTGTTGAAAAATATGACATTCCATATTGGTAAAAAAAGAAGAAAAAATAAACAAAAGTTACAAAAAAAAATCACTTGAAAAAATTAAAGCTTTCTTTTAATAAAAACTAAAGTTCTCAGAACAACTTGTCATACAAGTAATTCTTGGTCATTCAAAAACAGTTTTTTCTTTCACACCAATATAGGTTTTTTTCTTTTCAAAAATAAGTAAATTGTTCTGTCTTTTTGAAGAGAAACATTCTGAATACATTAATTTTGTTGATATTTTGGAGTTCTTCAGAAAATTATCATTTTGTGATTCTGATATTGGCTACATATTAAAATGAATATGGCAATTTTGAAAGAAAACTAAAACAAAAATGTTTTATAAATTCCTTGAGGCACACAAAAATTCTTTCATTCATTAATAGAAAAAATATAAAATTATCAAATGATTGCACTTTGTATTAACAGTTTTGATTTTTTTATTTTTTTTTTTTTTTTATTATTTTATAATTATTTTTCCCTTCTTTTTGATTCACTCTTCTCATAGTGTCTCTATGTCTTTACTTGATATGGTATGGTCCATGTTTGTCTTTGATGATCATAATCTTGTCAATTACTGTACCATTCTGTAATTCGTGAAATATACAAGTTATATCAGTATATAACTATTCAGGCAGTAATACTGTCTAGTATAAAATAAACACACTATCATGTCAACATTGTGATCAGAAACAACAAGAACCAGTTGAACTGGGTGATGCTACCCGGATAGATTTTGAACATAGAAAAGTATACCTCTTGTAGTTTCAGAGTTATGTCCCGGATAAAGTTCAAAGTGCAAAAATTCCAAACTTAAGCAAGGCAGAGTTACTGTTCTTTGCACTGCTCATCTACCCAATTATATCTATCTACCTACAAAGTTTCATGTTCAAATCTCTAATAGTGTCAGAGTTATGTCCCGGACACAAAATTCAAAGTGTAAAAATGAACAAAGGGCAATAACTCCAAAATAAGGCAAGGAAGAGTTATGGTTCTTGTGCACTGCACATCTACCCAATGAGATCTACCTACCTACAAAGTTTCATGTTGATACCTCGTGTTGTTACAGTGTTCTGTACCGGACAACAAAAGCGGATGGACAGACGGACAACCAGACGAACAGACAGACTTCCAAATAGGGAATGAATTCTATTGTTCTTTTTTGTTCTGTTTACAGTTAGATGACCCACTATCCCTGTTCAGTAGTGCAGACAGACAGACGGACAAAGCGGCGACTATATGCTCACCCTTAGGGGAGCATAAAAAGTAGTCCCAGAATTGACCTCATAGTGACAATAGTCATACTGATTAGCATACAGAGATTACAGACTACAATTTTTAAAATGAGCCATTAACACAATAACTAATGCTATATTTAGTCTGGTTTTGCAGTAGGTCTACATGTTTCGCAAGCAGGCATTGAGTATGCTCAGTGATATAGATAACAAAATAATACATCTAGAGACCCAATGTTTTTCCTACAGACAATAAAGATAAATCTATCTGATATATGATACCTTATCATCAGAGACCTGCTCCAGATAGAGATGTGTACTGTTGAATATCTTCATCCTAGTATAACCATAGTCATCACTACGGAATGCAGACCACGGGGAGGGATCTTTTTTGAAAGGATCATGATTTTCTTGGCAACCCTGTAACATAAAATATACAACTTATGTGTTTTATTTTTAAGATTCCTGAAACAACAACATTATTTATTTGAATAGCATTATTAAATCTACTTTCTATTCTATAAACCTCAATATTTTGTTTGGAACATTTTTTCTTAAACTTGTGAAACATATATATATTTGGCACATATACATATCATGTTTAGTTTTAATATTGCATTTTTTAACGTGAAATATATTTGCATACATATGTGTATGTATTTTCATATCCTCATATATATGCCTGTAATATAACAGACTATAGTTTTAATTGTAAAATACTTAAAATATCTTAAGTCGCTATGTACAATGTAATGTTTCTCTTTTATGCTGAAATGTATGTAATTATGCACAGATGAGACTATAATAAATATAGAAATGTGTAATTTTTTCTAAAATGTGTAATGAATATTAGACACTTACTGCAGATCCTGTAGTAATGTGAACAGGAGCTCCTGGATTTGTGTAAGGTTGATTCAAGCTGCCATTGTATACCTGCAATACAACAAACTTTATCCATTTACTTTTGTTCTCACAGTTTATTATTAGTTTATTATGAGAAACATGTAAAATTTGGTCAATAAGTTTCCACAGATAGGGTGATGCAACCCTGTCTCATTGAGATCTTTACCCTTTTGAATTTTTTAACAAGGCAATGTGTTAATATTACAGAAAACCAATGGAAATTTTTTTAAGTTAGGTCAGTAGTTTCAGACAGCGAATATTTCAAGTTTTCTCTATAAAAAAGAAAGCCTACCTCGTATCAATGACATGTTTTGATCAAACTAACAACTGGTATAGAGAATCATTCAAGAAATTTTCCTGTTTAAGGAGTTCAAAAGAAGGCAAATAAGTGTTGCCACTGGTACATTTAAATGTCATCTTCCTTTCAATATATCATAGCAATCACACTGCTTCATGTATTAATGTATTATTGTAGAACAAGACAAGTTAAAGCTGAGGAGCAGAAAAATATCATATATAAAATACCTTATCCTCATAAACAGGCCAGAGTCTCTCATAAGCATGTTCATGCGCCCACACAGCCAAATCCACTCCATTCTCATAAAACATCTTCTCTAGCCCAAACTTGTCAATAAGTGGAATACCATCTCTTACCTATATCATAAAATTACTTTTTTGATCATACATCACTAGTAATATGGAAGAATACAATGTATATGTATATAAATGCATTACTTCATGCATTATTAGTCTTCAATAAAGTAGGTGATAGCTTAATCAAATGGAATATATTATTAGTTTCATGAGATTTAAAGACACGTTGTGATTGCAACTGTTCTATATGAATTACTAAGAAAAATGATACAAGTGGATTAAACGATCATCAAAGGATAAGTTTCAAGGTATATTTAATTTTGATAACCAATGTTTCGGCTCTCATGAGTCTTAATCATGGTTGTAAAATATCTTCTAAAATAAATGTATAAGAATTACTAACAATACAGCAGAAAATTAAATCAATGATGTCAATATCATGAATAATAGCAAGAGCCTGGGCAACATCAACAACAACATGCCTGAAGCAAACAACCAATTTTTTTCTTTGAAACAAGAAGACATGATGGCCCTGAAATTGCTCACCTGTATATAGGCCCCTAGGCCAATGCCAATTTTATATCAGGGGCTTTTATTTGAACAAACTTGGTAGATATTCATCAGAAGATGTTTCATGATAAAGATTTTTTAAGTTTTTACTATACACAAATAAGGAAAATCAATGATCCCCCCCCCACCCAGACGGGGCCAATTTTGACCCCTGGGCATTGGTTTGAACAAACTTGGTAGACACTGACTAGGTGATGTTTCATGCCAAATATTTAAGCTCTAGCTCTCGCGGTTTTCTAAAAGAAGATATTTTAAGTTTTTTCTTTCGGTTGCCATGGCAACCAGAGTTCTGCTTGGAATTTAATTCTTTGAACAATTTTTAAAGTTAACAACCAAAGGAACATTCCTGTGAAGTTTGGATGAAATTGGCTAAGTGATTCATGAGGAGATGTCGTTTAAAATAAAAGTTTACGGACGGACGCCGGACAAAAAGCGATCACAAAAGCTCACAATGTCACTTTTTGCCAGGTAAGCTAAAAATCAAACTAAAACAAGTTCATACACACAAAAAATAACAGGTTACCAATGAATGGTGTTTTGTACAATCATCACCATCCTTATTTGAGCAGTACATAGGACGATGACCCATTGTAATGATCCATGGTCTCTTAGCCCGGTTTTCTGGTTTATTAGCTTCCTGATAAAATAAACAATGTTAAACATAAGCCCAGTACAGTAATAAAGTAAAATGTTATATCACTTTTACAGTCGATTTTCATTGGATAATTCATAATAAATTATTGTGATATTTATATTACCTATATACAGCTACTGCAAATTTATGCATGTAAGACACGAAAGTGTGACGGTCGGATAGACAGACGGGCATTTATATATCCCCCTTTTCCTTCTTAAAAAAGGCAGAGGACAATAAGTTAAAATATGACCATGTCAATAAAACATGAGTTGTAATTAAACAATGCCCTCAAATATTTTCACCACCTAACCAGCTTTCCTGAATAACTAACTAATAATTACCAATTCCTCCATGTGACAACTTTCAATCTTATTACATGAAAAGAGCTATGATTTTCGAATAGTAACCCTAAATGTTTTGTAAGTTCAAAAGGGACCATGATTCAGTCAAGTTCAATGTAAGACTTGTAGGATCTTCAAACAAAATTCCAAAGACACAAATAATTTTTAAATGAATACCATCTCAAGTCTTGAAAATTAAAGTCAACCTTAAAAGTCTTATCAATATATTACTTTAAAAAAACATACATGTAGATATAAAGTTAAATCAGTGACAAAGTTGGTAGAGATTACACAAACAAGTGGAGGACTAAACATTTTTAAGTTTCTTTTCAGGATCCATTAAATATGGATCAAGTTACTGTTTTAAAACAGGCAAATAATAAAACTGTACCTTTAGATCATCCTCCAGCCAATAGTATTGCCTCAATGCCTGTACAACCCCATATTGTAAGTAGAAGTAATACTCTGTTGATATCGATATAACATGAGCTGGACCAATGTCAAAGCTAGACAGTGTAAAAATAACAAATTATACTTATTTAGATCTATATGTTAAAATTATACTTATAATAACAAATAAACCTACAGCATGACAGTATATAATTATAGGCAGAGCTTTGTGCCCTAAGAGTTGATTTTTACTTTATTTCACACAAAAGTTATACAATGTGTCATGTTATTTGCAGTCTACGTCCATTCTGGATGTTCACATGGGTCAATGGCCTACAGAATTTGAAAAAAAAACTGCTCAATCTTCATTATACTTTAATAGTATTAGTAAGATTATAAAATTAATGAGAATTCCATTCAATAAGTTCAAACATACAAATATTGAATGGTCCAACAGAAGGTAAATAATTGTCCATAAAGCAAAGAAAAATATCATACAATAATAATGTTATTAAAATGAGTATAATATGTGCACTATGCATTAAACTTGTTTGTTTCTTCTTTAACCCTTAACCTGTTAGAACAGAAAGTGACTAGCTTTCGTCACCAGTATAGAGACAGACCAGTTTAACATCCATGCAATCTGACCAGGCTCTATCTTGTTGGCAGCTTTGGGTTTGTTGTTGTTCTTTTTTTGTATTTTGATATGAAATTCTTTAATTTTCAAATAAGACTGTCCCAAATTCAAAGCAGGGCAAATCTTAAAGCAGGGCAAATCATAATAAATATTCAGCAGGGTAAGGATTAACACTTGATCAATTTTTTTCTTTCTACTCTTATTGAACAAGGGGATTAATAACAATTGATGAGGTTGTAAACTATTTAAGGTCACCTGAGTTCAAAAGACTGAAAATTCATCAACAAGTGTACCACTGATGATTAGGCCTTAAGATTTACCTGTAAAACATCTTGTCACCAACCTCATCACCTGGCATTGAGAAACGCCTCTTGTAGTGTGTGAAATTACTGGAAAAAAATAAAATTTCAAAAATAAATTCTTAGCTTTACATTTTGCAAAGTAATGATTGAAAATCAAGAGCACCACTACAACAAGGCAATATACGCATGAATGAAAATTTGATTAAGTAATCAAAATCTCCTTTCAATATAGGAAGAGACCCATTCATGGAACTTGACAGATAAATATTTCATCTTATCTTTATAACACTAAATTATCTCCAGGATGGGAGCATTATTAACCACAATAACCCTATAGGTGTTTGATTCATAAAACTTTGTAGAAATCTATTAAGCAATGCTACAAGCAAAATATATAGGATGGGCATTAACACTATACAGTGCAATAACTTCTGGATGATTTTGACAATTTAAACCAACTATAATAATGCACTTAATTTTATTTACATATACAATACACTGGCTGAACATTTTGCATGTATAGAAGAAGGAAACTAACATAAAGTTTATTTCATTAAAAGTCTTTCACATAACTATACATTAAGGCTAGTGATTTATCTATGACATAAATTAAAGTTTACTAATTAGGAATGTGGCTAATAGAACATAACATTTAAATTGTGTCAGTTTTATCATTTTTAAATCTTTCATTTGATCTCAGTTATCACTTAACAATTTGAAAACTTCCTGGTTTAGATGAATACAGATTGTTTAATTTACATATCTGAGTTTTAAATCTAGTATTTAACATATTTAACAAATATATCATACTAACTAGGATGTAATGTTCATACATATTATTCAGACATTTGAACTTTGTTTCCAGATATAAAGAGTTTAAACCAGGAAGTAGTAATTAGTCTTTGTCTGGCAAAAAAATCGACTTTTTTAACAATTTGTTAGGACAGAGTTCAAATTCATTAAATTCATATGCTAATCAGATTAAGAAAGAAATGTTAACAATTTGCTTTTACACAAAACACAAGTTACATAAATTCATCTGTCAAATAAAGAAGAATCATGATGCCAAAGGCAGTTTGGTAAGTATTTGACCCAGAACATTCTAAAATATAAAACTGTTATGGTTCAAATAGTAATTACAGTATCAATAGTATAAACTATACTGAATCTATCTAATAGATAGAAACTTACTTGGTTCACATTCTCCGGATTTCTATGTAATTTTAACTAAACAAGATTTTTTATTTTTATATGACTTCAAAGAGGATTTAACAGGGATAAAATAAACTAACAATTTCCAAGTCACTGACAAGTCATTTCTTAACAATGGATTTACTATACAGTTATTTCAAAAACATGAAATGTTTCCCAACATTTTAATAGTAAGAAGCTTTATGTTCTCTATAAAAGTAGAAAAGCAACTTACTACTTGTTTTCATGGTTGCCAGGGCATGTCATGTATGGTAACCGTGCTGTTAAAGGTTGTATCATGTTCATGAATTTATCTCCAACATAACCATTGTCCTGTAACAGATCATTATATTTCCTTTCTCCAACATTTAGCAAAAATTACTGTTTCAGCAATGATCACAAAATTCAATAACATAAAGTACATTAATTTCTATTCAATGTTAACAAGAGCAATCAGTGATCACATGTGTCGCTTCATAATGGCCAATTTCATGTTGGGACAAGTTTTGTGACAGACGGACAGACAGACGGACAGTGTACAACTAGACTTGGTACTGATCATTCCTGTAAAGTTTGGATGAAATTGCACCAGTAGTTTATGAGGAGTAGTGGGGACAAGCTTTTGTGTATTTGGCAACACACAGAAAAAAACACCTTTTTATCAAAGGGCCATAACTCGCCCAAAAATCATTCAACCGGAAAACCCGTGCAATATGCGCAAGGACTTGAGCTACAGATCAATCCTGTAAAGTTTCATTGAAATTGCATTAGTGGTATAAGAGAAGTAGTCCGGACAAACTTTAAAAATAAAAATTATCAAAGGGCAATAACTCTGACAAAAATCATTGAACCGGAAAATGCTGACAATATGCACAACTAGACTTGGTACTGATCATTCCTGTAAAGTTTGGATGAAATTGATCCAGTAGTTTATGAGGAGTAGTCCGGACAAGTTTTGTGACGGACAGACAGACAGACGTACCAATTTTTCAGGTTTATGAGCTATTTCTATTGTTCTTTTCTTTTGTTTCCTTGTGGGCTAACTATTGTTTCCTTATGAGCTAACTTTTATTTACGGAATGAAGTCCTTTGTTCTCTTTTGTCACAGTGTACCGTTAGTTAGCTCATATACCTAAAATGTTTGTGCGGACAGACAGACGACGGAGAAGTGATCCCTATATGTCGCCACTACTCCGTAGAGGCGACACAAAAATACTCCGAGTAAACTTTATATTTTGTAGCCAATTATAATATCAAACATGATTTGGATAATGTGTTATTGTTTTTTTCTTCAATTGTTTTTTTTGAATAGTTAGGAAAATTAAGGAAATATCTGAAGATATATAAAAGATGCATGTGAAAAATAATTGTTGACCTTAAAGCTGCACGCCTCCATATGAGCCAAAATATTTCAAATAATTCAATCTTTAGAAAAATATATTAAGATCTTAAGAAAAGTAAAACGATTCAATATTTAATTAATTAACATGTTATGTGCGATTAATGACTGATTTTGCAGTGTCAATCACTATAATTCTACTGTGTTACTAAATGCAGTAAGAAGTATTTATGTATATTTTGACATCTTTTTGGTAATTTACATGAATTGTAAGTGCCGTTTGCAATGTGTAAATTACTTTCTTTGTTCACTTCACAATATTTTACTTCTCGAGGCATGCTGCTTTAATTGTGGAGTTGTAAATCACAGCACTCGTTTCAATATGTTGTGTTTTTTGTCTATTTGGTTGTTTTGTTTTGTTTTTTATTCCTAACACATAAAAACATATTCTTTATAGCTTAAGGAAAGATTTAAATGTATTATATTGACTTACACTGTCCATGTCATAGGCCAAATCACCTAAAATAAAAATAAATGTTGAAAAGAGACTATTTAATAAAATACTTGTACTTAAAAAGTCAGTGGGCAGTCAACAATATCTGAATATTTTTACATGTATATTGTTCTACAATCAAAGTGTATACAAAACACAAAGACTCCCAATGTCAGCTTCCTCAAACCTCAGAAGTCAGCAGGAGAACTCTGCAATGTCCTTGTCATTGGTCTAGTGAGATCATTATCATATTACAGCAGCTCTACTACAAGCTATAATGATAATACTATCAAGTAAGGAAGCAGGAGCTCTTGTTACTTAGAATCTGTAGGGGATTAATTGCCTAGTAATTAAGATGTCTGCCTCTTTACCCAGTGATTAAAGATCAGAGCCCTACTTTGGTCGTTCCTTGGGTACTACCCATCGGTAAAGTTTGAAGCAATATCTTCACTTGTTCATGAGGTATCAAGTCGTTGCACACAAAACTTTGGCCAAAATGTTACGCTGAAGTCGACATATGGGTGAGTAACAAAGCCTCAATATTCTTCAAATATTCAAGCTATTACCCAATTACAATAATCAGTCAGTTATCCAAGAGAGTTCTATCTACAACTTTACTTACTACGTAGAACACTTTAATTATACTACAAAACGATCAAACTCTTTTTCAAATTATGTTACACACAATAAAGTCGATTTTTTTTTCAACTTCGTAAGGATTATATAAAACTTACCAACATGAAACACAGCATCGTACATGCCCTGATCATTGTCAATCATCAGACGCTGAAGAGATTGATGGTTAGAGAAACCAAAATCTCCATATAAGGCAACATGTGGCGACCAGTCATTGCCATCTCTCATTGTTTTAAAAACAAATGTCTCACTCCATACGTTTTCAACAGTACTACCAACTTTATATACTGAAAGGATAAATATTTTAATATAATAAATTTTATCTAGCATGCACTGTAAAATCATTGTTTGCAAAATACAACTCAAAATGCAAAACAATCATTGCTTAATATCGGGCATTATTCCTTCTATATAGAAAAGACCATTTCAAAATGTCATACTGAAACTCCAGTAAAAATGCTTTAAAATCATGCAGTTTATCTCAAAATTCAATATACATCATGTTTTCCATTCCCTTTCTTTAAAACTAGTATTATTGTTATACGCTTATTTAACCTTACTTTTCAAAAGAGGCCTGACCTTTGGAAAGATAGGTCCTAGATAAGTATACAATTTGTTTTCAAATTTCTATCTATCAAAGGACAAACTTACTATATGGTGCTCCTGGCTTAAGCCCAGTAAACTCCACCCTGTGAATATACTGTGTATGGTGCAAGGTACCAGGGTCCACAAACTTACTGCTAGTTCCATTTACTACAGTGCTTGGTGGTTGCCCTTTTAATGCTGACCCTATCAAGGCTGCAGTTGACTGTGTTGCATTCATTGTACTCCATATCACTACCATATGTGATGGGTCAACTGAAAATTAATAGAGATTTCTTGGTAGACTTTTAGTCATTTTAAGATTGAATAATGTAAATATAAACACTTAGTCATTTTCCAGCAAGCAATAAATAAATTAGAGAAAAAAGATTAAGGCGCTTTAGACTTAAACTAAAAGGACAGTTAGTCAAACATTTTACATATTAAGTTTTTTAATTCACTTTTAATTGATGCAATGGGTTAAAATAGTTGAATGAATAAGTAAAAACAAGATTGCATTTGAGAAAAATGCTATGCCACCGCATTAATACCTAAGCTCTAGGCCTTTTGGGCATTTACAAGAAGGTATTTTAAGTTTTTGAAGCCTTGTACCTTGTACCTACAGACAATAAGATTTTTTTATTTTTTACTATATGTATATATTGAAAATCAATGACCCCCGGGGCGGGGGCAATTTTGACCCCAGGGCTATAATTTGAACAATCTTGCTAGAGGTTCACTACACAATGTTTCATGCAAAATATCTAACCTCTAGCATTTGTCAATTGCTAGAAGAAATTTTTTTAAAGTTTTTACTATATACATATAACGAAAACCAATGACCCCCGGGGCAGGGCCGATTTTGACCCCAGGGCTATAATTTGAACAATCTGGGTAGAGGTCTACAACACAATGCCTTATGCTCTAGGCCTTTTGGGTCTTAACAAGTAGGTATTTAAAGTTTTTACTATATGTACATATAGTGAAAATCAATGACCCCCGGGGCGGGGCCGATTTTGACCCTAGGGCTATAATTTGAACAATCTTGGTAGAGGTCTACCAGGCAATGCCTTATGCAAAATATCTAAGCTCTAGGCTATTTGGGTCTTTACAATAAGGTATTTTAAGTTTTTACTATATGTACATATAGTGAAAATCAATGACCCCGGGGCAGGGCCGATTTTGACCCCAGGGCTATAATTTGAACAATCTTGGTAGAGGTCTACTAGACAATGCCTTATGCAAAATATCTAAGCTCTAGGCCTTTTGGGTCTTTACAAGAAGATTTTTTAAATTTATTCTTATAATTCCTTTTGGTTGCCATGGCAACCAGATTTCTGCATGGAATGAAATTCTTTGAACAACTTTGGAAGCCCTTCACCCAAGGATCAATCCTGCCAAGTTTGGTTGAAATTGGACTATTGGTTTTTCACAAGAAGATTTTTTACGTTCACTATATAATCTTTATAACAATGACCCGGGGCGGGGCCTATTTTGACCCCAGGGCTATAATTTGAACAATGTTGGTAGAGGTCTACCAGACAATGCCTTATGCAAAATATCTAAGCTCTAGGCTATTTGGGTCTTTACAATAAGGTATTTTAAGTTTTTACTATATGTACATATAGTGAAAATCAATGACCCCGGGGCGGGCCGATTTTGACCCCAGGGCTATAATTTGAACAATCTTGGTAGAGGTCTACCAGACAATGCCTTATGCAAAATATCTAAGCTCTAGGCCTTTTGGGTCTTTACAAGAAGATTTTTTAAATTTGTTCTTATAATTCCTTTTGGTTGCCATGGCAACCAGATTTCTGCATGGAATGAAATTCTTTGAACAACTTTGGAAGCCCTTCACCCAAGGATCAATCCTGCCAAGTTTGGTTGAAATTGGACTACTGGTTTTTCACAAGAAGATTTTTTAAGTTCACTATATAATCTATATAACACACACACACACACACACACACACACACACAAACAAACACACACACACACAGGTGAATCGCTATATGCCTTCGCATCGCAGATGCTGCGGTGGCATAAAAATATTTTATCGTATTACAATTTGTTGACAAAAACTAAGTACTATGGTACCCAAGAGCACAACCCTACAGATATGATGGCTATCAACACTGATCAAAGATTAGAGGACAAGACAATATATTAACATTTATGTCAATATGCGATGTTGATAATAGGAGACACTGTAGTCACAGGCACAAGTATCGGACCCGGGATGAAAAAATATGACCAGATTGATAATAAAACCTGTGTTCATCTTAAAAGTGTCAAAAACCAAAAAAAAAAATTGTAAAAAATGACCCCCTTTAAAATATACTATAAGTTAACTTATAGTATATTTTAAAGGGGGTCATTTTTTACAATTTTTTTTTTTTGGTTTTTGACACTTTTAAGATGAACACGGGTTTTATTATCAATCTGGTCATATTTTTTCATCCCAGGTCCGATACTCGTGCCTGTGACTGTAGTTACCTCACATGATCAAACAATTACATTTTGGCAAGATCGTAAATTATTAGGTTGTTTATGTTTGAATAAAGTTTTTTATAATATATGTTGGTTCTTGGCTTATCAATAGATTATAGATAATTTTATCAGCATATGCTTCACTTCTGTCTTCAGCGTTCACGTCATGTCATAGTATATATAAAGGGGTTCGCTAAAGACCTTAAGCTGTACCCTTTCATAAAAACTTTTCACCCTGAAATCTTGTAATTTAGTCTTTTCGGTTTATATCTATTGTTTTATCAAGAGACCATCTTTACCTTTACCTTACCTTCCTCTTCTTCTAGGCATTTAAGCCAAGATGGCTTTTAAACTCCTCCTATACTTAGTCCTATACTGTATACTCATGACGTGGTCCTATTTAAATATGACGTCGTTTTCAGATATATTTGCTTAGATGGGCAAAGCAACATAAACTATAACAAGCCCTTAATGTCTGATATATTGGACTACTCCTATACTGTATTGTCAAAGATAAGTTCAATAAATGTTACTGGTATCAAATCTTGTTGGCGTCCGTGCCGAAGCGCGACGCCCTTATGGAATGAAAACAGATTTTGTGAAAGGGCAATAGCAACTTCTCCAGCCTTTTCGTCGGCCATAATAGCCGAACATTCCGATTGGTATGATTATCAAAAAATAATGAATAGCGAACTGGATAATTTCCCATCGTAAACATATTCAAATGAAATTATCTTATCCGTCAATTAATCGCGCTCTACAGTATTTTTATTAATCATTTTGTAGTACACAATGGGTTATTATGTGTGTTATTGCTTTACTAAATAGAATGATGACCTGCACATTGTGAAAGTCCGAAAATCTATTTATAGAAGTAGTTTTAGTTTACCGAAACGGTCATTCGAGTCGCAACGAACTGGAAATGAAATGCAAACATAATTATTAAAACAATTAAATCAATTAACAGACTTTGTTCATTTTGACTGTTATGCTGTATGTTCCAAAGAAAATACCACATGAACTTGAAATTCTATCAAATAACCAATATTAATGACAATATCCAAAAAATACCCCTATATGGTATAAATGAATTACAGTCAAGCCGGCCCCAAGTTAACCCGGCCCCAAGTCAACCCGGCCTCAAAATTGGTCAACCCGGCCCCAAAATTGGTCAATCCGGCCCCACAGTATTTTCATTTGGTCAATGCGGCCCCAAAATTGGTCATTCCGGCCCCAATATATATATTTTTCAAAGAAAACTATTTAAGTCATTTTGTTGTCTGATGGAATAAAATTGTTTTATTATTAATTGAAGATAAGTAACTATAGAACAATAGTAAAAAAAAAAACATGAACTTGCATAAAAGTGTCGGTAAATTTAATTGCGCCGATTAAGTCTTTAATATGCAATAGTGATAATGAATTATTATATAACATTAACAATTATATGTACATCAACATTAATTCATTGTTTGTTAATATTGATAGTTTTTATATAAAATAAATAATAAAAGGTATCATCGTTGAACTTTTGTTTTTGTTGTTAATTTTTATTTTATTTAAGTGTTTACATTTTACAGCAAAATAAATAATCTAAAAAAATGGGGCCAGGTTGACCAGAAATAACATTGGTTTGGGCCGGGTTGACCAATTTGGGGCCGGGCTGACTTGGGGGCGGGTTGACTTGGGGCCGGGGTTGACTTGTACCGAGTATAAATAAACTTATACCATATTTTGAATATTATAGACCTTTATATTTTGGATATTATCGTTAACATAGATAGAATTAAAGTTCCTGTGGGAAAAAAAATTTAATATTCAAATCTCTAGCATGCCTGCAAAGTTCATAAGGAACAATGTCATTCGTCCGTCCATTCATAAATGATATACAATACTTGTTAAAACCAATTAAGTTATTAACCATTGAAAAGTTTATAAGAATATCTGGTCATCAGATGTCTACTAGTTCATCTTCACTTTTGGATTGCATCAATGCTTTTCTTGTCAATTTATATAATAAGCTATTAACCGATTAATGACGTCTTTGGAATGTTAAATGCCGACTTACCGCCGTATGACAAATGAATCTGCTCCGGTGAAATAAATTTTTGTGACTTTACTAGTGAACAGAATAACAACAATTTCAACAATTTGTATGTGCACTCCATTTCGATGTTATTATGATTAATTGAACTTTTGAACTATCATGTGACAATTTATATGTTTTGGTTCTAGGTACAATATTAAATATATCTTTGGGCGTCTTAATGTACGGAAACCAGCTAATCAGGTGACGATTAGAATATAGTCCGCACCTTTGTACGTACTGTATCCGTACTGCTCACGCAGTCGGCCTAGTCACATTTCGTACTCTATGTTCTAAATATATGTAAATCAGTCACATTTGAGGCTTAATTGCGGATGACAGTATCCTTGATGAATCATTGCTGAAAATATTCAGGCCAAATGAGACCCAAAGTATAATACAGTGTAGGTTAGCCATCAACTTTGTTTCAGGCATTTATTCTGAAGGGGAAAAGTTTAAATTTTTCTCTTAAAAAAATCATGTCTGCTAGCGAGTAGCACATCTTTAATCCTTTCGTCCAGAAAAACGGTCCTACAGACGAATAGACATTTTTTTCTAAGTAATCATATAACACACAAAAACTTCACAGGTGCAATAAATATACTTTAAATATGACAGTTATATAATTCTTGGCACTTCATAATGTTCAAGAACTACCTATTTTCAAATTAAATCTTTGTTTATTTACGTATGTCCCTTGAGGGCATAAGAGTGAACAAACAATATAACAAATACTAATACGAACATAGCAAAGAAATGAATAAGGACGATGACTCAATAAACTTTCAACATAATTGGTAAAACAATTACAGCTATATATTAGGTAAAGTATTTCTATTATCACTCCACATTTAAGTCAGAAAATAAAATGTAATAGGAAGCCTACTTTAGCATAGTAATTAAAGATATATAGATCTACCAGTGTCTTTCATGTGTAAAATAACTGCATTTAAAAATATAATGAAACCTATCACCTATTTCTTGTAGACTAGAGAGTGAACTCTAGCAAGTCCTATTTTCTTTTTTAATACCAAAATAACGAACTTTCATTATACTAGGAAGGTCAGAATAGAGACACCTAAATTTACAAAAAGAGTATAGTTGCTATTTCTTGGTAAGCATAGTTTATAGTGTTCAAACTAAAATTGAGTTTTATATATTCTATAATTAGAATTGAAAACATCACTACTCCACAATGGCATATTTGTAACAACCTGGGAGAGAAAGATACACATTTTTATTCCCAGTAACAACAGATCTCGTAATCGTGATTATTTAATAACAAGTTTAATATCATTACAAAAACAAAAAAACAAAAAAAAACTGAGTAACAAATATTGTTAAATGCAGATTTTACAAAGTAAAATACCTATTTCATGAAGATTATATATAGTGCGATACACCGTATAGCGAATAATTTATCAGCTTTACCAGTAACTAATTTCATTTACCCGAAACATTTAACATTCTACAAAAGTTGGCATTTTGAGTTTAAGTATATATAAGTTAATAAAATTTTATTTGAAACTGAGAAATGATAGAATTATTTTCATTTCCCCACACTTCCTATACAATTGTATAGCCTTAACCATATGGTTTAACAAGTGTAACTGAATATCAACAGGAAAATCAAGTGATTTTTTTTTTATCTTAATCAAAATAGTAAACAGTGCCTTCCGAGCTCGATCTGGTTAAGTGTAATTCTTTCAACCTGGTTTCCTTTATATCGATGATTTCATTTTCTATTATTTAATTGATACATTCCAAAAGTAGATACATTTACACAGAGGTATTTAGTACTTTAAACGGGATTTTAAATGTATAATATAAAACTGTTGAAATTTAAGGACGGGTTACTAGTATTATATATTCTGTTCGCGTCAGTGCGTGCTTATATAAAGAACAGTACATTACGTGGTTTTATAGAATTGATGTGTTGGTATGATAAACAGTATTCTTATACTTTGGTGTACCCACCATGTATTACAGGCGCCATAAATTATAAATTTGGTTGGTATATTTTTACTTCGCAGTCAAGGACAATTTCATTGCCATAGACTTACTTTCCAAGGAGTGAAGATACTGCCAGGTAATCTTGGACTCATCTCCTCATTTCATAAAATGTTTTGACAGCTTCGGAAAAGAATCCGTAAAAATGATTGCGTTTTTTTTCTCTCAAAATATCTCAAGCTTGCAATAGATCATATAAAAAGTAGTAAAAGGAAATAATGAAGCAAAAAAGACTTTCATGATTATCCCCCTCCTCAAATACATTTCAAATTTGATAGTTAACAAAAAAGTTAATCAAGAAATTAAAAGCAAAAATGGACATAAGTCTGCAAAAATGAATTGAAAAGATACTTTCCATTAGAAATGCATTGCAATTTAAAAAATGAACAAGTATTCCGAGTCTGAAATGATCTACCTTGACAGATTTAGAGAAATTGACGCAAGAGAAAAAAATATATGTAAAAAAGGGGCATAACTTCGCAAAACACACGATTAATTGCCCTTTGGAATGGCTTCCTTGTATGACAATAAATGAGTATACTAATTTTGAAGTGAAAAGGAGAAAATGGACCTTATAGGAAATATGAACCAACGCCAACGCCACTTTCACGCAATTAATGTTCGCAAATTTGCATGGTTAAAAAATTTTATTATGCAGTTTTCATTTTGAATAAATAATATTTGTGTAAGATACTTTTGCATAGGCCTTTTATTGGTAATATTATTTTAAAGGTGGACGAGTAACCATAACATATAAAGTTAGATTCTTCACATAATATTAATGTATAGTGCATTTTGGTCGTAGTGAATTATATTTTGTCCTGTAACTGCATGTCCATCAAAGGCTTATTTCAATATATCTATCATATTAGTAACTTTTCTAGTTAAATTTGAGGGAATATTATTACAAATGATAGTTTAACAACTCAGTTTTGGAAAAGAAAAGTACGCTTACAACAAAGAAATATGAAAGAAAGATCTTGATTTTCTGTCAGAAAATGTTATCCACTTTTAGAGCGTTTATGTCTCGGCAGCCTCGAAAATTCATTTCTAGCTGGTAACAGTCTTAAGAAAAGACAAACTGGCCGGATTGCCATTTGGCATGCGTGACGCTAGGTGGTAAATGTGTATTACAATCAATTTTCCCGGATTTTTCCGAAGCTGTCAAAACATTTTATAAAATGAATAAACGAGTCCGAAATTATCTGACAGTAATTTCAGTCTATGGACTGTAAGTCTATAGCATGATATTGTCCTAAATTTGCGAAATATAAATATATCATCCAAATTTATAACCTGCCTGTAGTAACGAATCAGTAATTTTTAGATTTCTGTTATCAAACTAGCAGACATTTTTTTAGAATTGTACTTTGTTCAACAACAAGAGCGTTTCACTTCTGAACAATATTGATGTGAAGACGGATCCGTGTAATCATGAAATCAAATTGGTTTAAAAGCAACAACAACAACAACAACAAACAACAGCAACAACAAATAGGCCGCGCTGAGTTATGCAATGTAAAATGATTAAATCACAGTATTTTTAAAACTAATTTTATTTTTGATGAGTCATAGAAAATATCTTAGTCAAAAAAAGTGTCATTTAGCCTATATTGTCAAAGTTTTATTTTTAATTATTATTCATAAGAGTGCTTTAAAAAGTACGATACACCTGTGTACGGTAAGTGTGTACATATTAGGCAGGTAAACTTAACACAACCATATATAGTATTTATAAACCATTGGAATGTTATCTATTTGGGGTAGATTGTATAAACATCTACATAACACTTTTATTCAAATACATGTACCCGATTATTGAAAAAATACCTAGTGTCTCTAGCAAAAACATTGTATTTGTTTATAGAAACAGTATGCTACTCAGTGCTATTAATTATCTCGTGGGCTTCATAAAAATATTGATTGAGCAGCAACTTTAAAACTAGAGCTTCTACTAGTATGCCAGGAACTGTTTTCTTCAGAACATCTTTTAGGTCTCCCCTAGAGGGTACATCTTTAATTAAATTATACGGGACGGCAAAAAAAAAAAAAAAAAAAAAAATAGAACTAGAAAAATCTTTCTCATAATTTCAAATAATATGCATGACTACTTGCATGGGTGACGATTGAAAACAAATTGAATTTTTAATTAAACGCGCAATGACAATTTTAAGTCACATTTACTTTGTAAATTTTTAAAATTGTTAAAATTGTAAAATTCTAACTAAATACATAGAAAAGATTGCAAAAGATATTCAATGCAATCCTTAAATTTAAACGTATGTACGTCGCCGTCATATTAATTGATTAAAGCTGTTGAAATACGTATTCAATTCAGCTGAAGGTTGTGACATATATTGCTTTGGTTACAAATAATGCAGGCCAAACCACAAACGATCTAAATACTAAATACAGGTACGCCTAATCACACGCTTAAAGTTACCCCCCCCCCCCCCTAAAAAAAGGAAAAGAAAAAAGGTTCAGTCGGCATTTTAATATAAATAATATATATTCGGGTCCATTTCTGTCACGTATGCTACTTTTAAACTGTGACTATTTACGAAAGATTAATTCAAACAGAATTAAGCTGTGCACGTGTATATTGCAGTTAACCAGCTTCCATTTGAAAAGACTATATTATGGTCTTTCCATTACAAAGACCCTATTAATGCAGGGTCTTAACCTTGCAATCTGCAACAATCTAATTAATTAAGAAATAAGGCTTATGGGTGTAGATCTAACTCTTTTGTAAGTTCAATAATTACAAAAAAAAACACCAACACCAGATCTAGAGCTATATAGGACTCGCCTAGATAAAATCTCTAATTTGCTGTATGTGAGATATTAGAAAATATCTATTTATAGATTCTGACATATTCTTGTTAAAATACATTAACGTTTTTCTTAATGATAATATTGTTTTTCTTTTAGATAGTTATTTTATTTTCCCGCCGTATTTCGTAACAGTAGCATGTGACTTATCATATGGGCGTCTATTGCCATATAAGGCAAACTCGTGTACTATGCACCCAGACATTACTCACATATTGCATTTATAAAACGTATAAATAATTTTGCTTAGTTGATTTATATTCATAAAATACATTTAGAATTTACCGAACTATTATTATTTTATATATTCTTTAAACTTAAATATACACGTTATTTCATTTTGACCAATCAAATTCAACAATCATCGTTGCATACGAATTTGCTGCGGATTTACGATTCACAAAGAGGGAGTTCTTGCCGAAATTGACTTGACACGAGACCAGTTCCTTACAAATAAATAGACCCACAAAATGGTAAGTGGTACATATTTGTCTCATTTTCTTGCACACCATTTAACTTTGGTTATTCCCTTCCAAGAATAAAAAGGTTTTCCTTAAAAAAAAGCACAATTTCACAACATTATTTCCGGATCTCGAATACGGAAGTGAGACGATCAAGTTCAATCAGTTTAGTACAGGGTCTTCATTTATTTCGTAGACACATTGTTAAATCCATTCCGTAAATTTGAATTTAAGTAGACCTGATATAAAACTGATTTAACGCTGATTAATATTTTCAGAAATGTTCAATCTTTTGTGACTATTTGGTTCTCTCCCCTCCCAAATATTTTCTCAGAGACTTATTTTAAGAGAAAAAATACTCAGAAACTTGATAAGTTGAATCAAAATCGGATAACATTCTGGAAAAGACTGCAAGATTTATTTAACAAGATGCTAGTGTAGGATACGTTGAAATGTTAATGTTATCATAATGTTTAGCATGAATGTTAGTGCATAAGAATGTTAAACCTGGGTCTGCTGGGAAGAGTATCAAATTTAAGTTTTTTCTATCATGATAGATATTATAAATTTTTGTCAGAATAGTGCATATGTGAAGACGCCCATGGGTTAGGTTTATGATGTACAATGTTTTTGACAAGTCTAACTGGTTAGATTATTTCACAGGAGATTGACATTCTATCAGTTGATGAAAAATATAAGCAAATAATTAAAAAATAATGGCAAATGTACCCCTCTATACTATGAATAAACACATGGAATGCAACGCCTTTTGAACACTCGATACACATTTTATTTAATTGCACACATGGAAAATAAATTTTAACAATTTAGTTTAGCAATTTCGATACACTATACAAAATATACCATTTACAACCGCTGATAATTTAAATCAAAGCATTTCATAATAATAAAGTGGCAATATTTACTCAAATGTCAACAAAATATTTTGTCTGGCACTCCATGTCAATTTCCTGTGATAATTTCTACCATAGAACAATCAGTCAATGGAAAATCTTGCAATTTTACAGATCTAAGTTTTCATATTTATAGACAGCCTGTAAATAACTAAATTTATGGACCATTCCTTATTTCATAGAATTTAATTTAATGTTTTAATTTATTTCATAGCTTTTAAATTGTGATGTCTCTATATTTGACTATTGCCTTGACCCTTTTTATGCTGTGGATAATTTTTAAATCTTTAGAATTACTTTCTTGTGTTTGAATTATTTGTTAAAACATATTTTTCAGTCATTAGATATTGTTTGCTTGAAACTCAAGATTTTAGGTAGAACACAATTTTGTAGAATCAATGACAAGCAAAATCAAACAGTTATAGAAAAATCCTGAAATAATGCTTTGGAAGACTGATACTCGATTGTTTTCAAATAGTATCACCAGAAGTTTAAATATTATATTATGGTCTCGGCTTCTTTAAAAAAAAATCGGCAGTTTACAAGCGCTTCAGGAGGGAGGATGCAGCAATATTTTGCATGGACACATGTGAAGAAAGAAGAGGATGTGTTTTTTCTGGAAAAGGAAGAAGGTAGATCAATACACGTTGATCTTTTCTGCATTCATAATGCTATTGTAAAAATATAGTGGAAGATTATTGATTTTAATATTTCTTGCACAAATATTTATCCCTTGACTGAGAATTTTATGATTAAACAAGAAAATAATATGATAATTTTATTAAAGATAAAATGAATTTTACTATCGTAGCATAAAAAACAATAGAGATATGTATACTGTTGAGATGATTCAAAACCATGAAATTCATCTGTCAAGGAATAAATATACTGCAAGCCTTCAAAAACAATGGATAATCATGTTTATTTTATGTTTTGTAACTGGTATATGCAATAGGAATAAATGATTACGAAGGTTCATCAGACTGTATGTTATTTAATTGTTGTATATAATTACATACATTATTTAATAACAGTTATCCTGATGGAACCAAAAGTGACTGGCCTTTGCCACCAGTATAGAGCCGGGCTAGCTAGCACACTCTTGAGCTCTGACCAGGATCTTTACATTTGGAACCTCAAGTTTTTTATATTGAAATCCCTTATTGGGGAAAAATGCAGTAGGAGGGGGAATTTTGTTTCTTCACAAATGAGGAGAAACAAAAAACAATCCAGTGCATATTTTAATATACCACTTACCACTGTAAGATTTACTGTTGTGAGACATTGTTTTCTTTCTGGTAGAAAAGGGGAGCAACTCTTGCAACACAAGTTTGAAATACGTCGCTTTTTCTTGATATACGTATCTAAAATATCGACAGCAGAATTTGAAGCGTTACATGTTAAACTTGTTGGGACGCCAGGAGTAGCTCCCTTTACCTTCCCGGAAGCGATTTGTAATCAACCTTGCTTAACAGTAAGTCTTACAGGCATAAAATAAAACATTTTTTGGCAGTTAGTTGAAAAAAACGATATTCATTGCAGGCAAATTTGGGCTGCCGTATGGGGGAAATTTTCGGCTTTGAAGAGGGAAAAAACTACTGTTTTGAGGGGGGATTGGAAGCTTATTTTGCTGAATATTTTGGTAAAAAAAAACCCCACTGTAATAAGAACATCTGGCTTTCAAGTCGTCAACATTTTTATAAATGTTTGTCACAAGAGCAAGTGGTGTGAATATTTGAATCTTTTAATGTTTTAGCTCTGCTGTAACAATTTATTTTTTAGGAGTAGAACTACTGAAATTTACATTCAGATTGTTTAAACAAAAAGTGTTACATGAATATCCATTGTATTTGAGAGTCAATAAGGCTAACTCTTCTTTGTGTACTGAAAAATGCTAAGTATTACTGGTTTGCTGTTATGGTATTCCTATCAAGACAATTCTGTTGTTGTTATATCACATTTTGTTGTTGTTGGGGTTAGTTGGTTTTGTTTTCTTCCTAAAGATGTTATACCTTATTTTGTTTCTATAAGTTCATTCTTTCATTACTAAGAAAGCAACTAAGTTTTATAATTGATTTCATTTGTTTCATTCAATTTTTATGCTATATGCCACTCAGAGGATATAATGTTACATTTTAAAAAAAAGTGAGTTGGTATTTAGCATTGATGAAATATAAATGGCTTTGCTAATTAGAGTTGTAGATGGATATTTACACCTCTAATTTTTGTTTATAGATAAGTCTGGAGAGTGTTTAAAATTTTGTCTATAAACTGTTATTGACTTTAGAGATTGTATTAATATTTGGTTCCTTTGGTCAGACTAAATATTATAAATCTACCACCAACTTTAACATGTTTTTGATAAATGTGAAAAATATTGTGAAAGAGCATTTTTGCAACAAAAGTTGAAATGTTATAAATTATAATTTGAGCCGTGCCATGACAAAACCAACATAATGGGTTTGCGACCAGCATGGATCCAGACCAGCCTGCACATCCGCGCAGTCTAATCCGGATCCATGCTGTTCGCTTACAAACCCTATTACAAGTAGAGAAACTGATAGCGAACAGGATGGATCCTGATCAGACTGCGCAGGCTGGTCTGGATCCATGCTGGTCGCAAACGCAATATGTTGGTTTTGTCGTGACGCGGCTCATTTTATGTTAGTGATGATGGCTAGGTCCAAAAAAATATCATATAAATGAAAAACGAGCGTGTTCCATTTTTGATCGGAGGCTACACCAGAAGTTTATGTTAAGATTTGGTAAGTTAGGAATGGTGTTGCTTTAGTTATTGTTCAAGTTCAGAGAAGCATGTCTTTTTGAATTTTTGATAGTTTTGTTTTTTAATTCTGTTGTTCTGGAATGTTTTTTGCTATTTTGGAAATTGAATGCATTTTGTTGAATATTTTAACTTGCCTTGGCCTTGGTATAAAATGACTTAAGGGATCTTTTGTTTCAGATCACTTTTGTCTATTAATTCATCCTCAAACAATTCTTTAAAAAACCCTAAAAAACCACAACTTGTTTTAAAAAATATTGATGGTATCACACAAAGAATACAAGAAAAAGAGTGATGTGTTTATTTTCAGTCATAAGTGTTCAATATAGTTTATTTCTGGTAAAACTGGTGGTTGTCATTAATATTTTGAAAAGCCAACATTTTTGTCTGTTCAAACATGTTTTTTTTTCTTCAACCAAGTTAAAAGTGCTTATTTGATTTTTCTTCAAAACATCAATTGGAAAATCAGAAGGTCTTTATACCCCCAAAAACGAAGTTTGGGGGGGTATATAGGGGTCACCCGGTGGTTGGTCGGGCGGTCGGTCGGTCCAGACGTCCGTTGCATTTTCCTTGTCCGGAGCATAACTTGAAGACTAATGGTTGGAATTCAATATAACTACATACAATGGTCAAGCACATTGAGAGGAATTGCAGTGCACAAGAACCATAACTCTATCTTGACTAATTACAGAGTTATTGCCCTTTGTTACTTTTCCTTGTCCGGGGCATAACTTGAAAACTAGTGGTTGGAATTCAAAACAACTTCATACAATTGTCAAACACAACAAGGAGAAGTGCAGTGCACAAGAACCATAACTCTATCTAAAGTAATTACAGAGTTATTGCCCTTTGTTACTTTTCCATTGCTTTTTTTTGTCCGGACGATAACTTGAAGACTAATAGTTGAAATTCAATATAACTACATACAATGGTCAAGCACATTGAGAGGAAGTGCAGTGCACAAGAACCATAACTCTATCTTGACTAATTACAGAGTTATTGCCCTTTGTTACTTTTCCTTGTCCAGAGCATAACTTGAAAACTACTGTTTGGAATTCAATACAACTTCTTACAGTTGTCAAGGACATTAAAAGGAAGTGCAGTGCACAAGAGCCATAACTCCATTTTGACAAAATACAGGGTTACTGCCCTTTGATACTTTTCCTTGTCAGGAGCATAACTTAAAACGTACTGGTTGGAATTCAAGACAACTTCATACAATGGTCAAGCACAATAAGAGGAAGTGCAGTGCACAAGAACTATAACTCTATCTTCAGTATTTTTAGAGTTATTGCCCTTTGTTCCTTTTCTTTGTC